TAACCTATACATAAACTACATACCTTACAAATCAGTGATAGGTTTGCTGCTGTATCTGTCTCTGTCATAATCTTTAAAATAGAATAGAATAGAACAGTTTGTGTACTTGCACTTATGTATTAATATCTTGTGGTTTGTAAGCTTTGTCAGTGTTTTGCATAGGGTCATCAATGCTTTTTCAAGGCCGTGTATTTATGAAAAGTACAGAAAAACAAAAATATTGTGAACTATTAAAATTTGGAATTACTGGTCTTTATTTAAATATATTCTAGTACTGGCTGTCATCTTGGGCTATTCTTGTGATAGTAATCATTTGAATATCCTGATTTAGTACTTAATAAGCATTTTTTTTATTTTTTTAGTAGAAACCATTTTTCATGATTATCTATTATTAAAAAAGCAGTAAAATATAAAAGCATTTAATTGAAACACAATATAACCTTCTTTTTCAAATATTTACCAAATAAAGTTTAACAGAGGAAGGAATTTTTCACAGTATTTCCGATAATATTTTTTCTTCTGGAGAAAATCTTGTTTGTTTTATTTTGGCTAGAATAAAAGTTTTTAATGAAAAAAAAAAAAGATCCATGATATTAGTTCCCTTAAGCTGTACTTTTTTCAATTGTCTACTGAATAAACCACTGTTATATCATTATCTAGTTTACCTAATTAACCTATTTAAGGCCTTAAATTGCACTTAGTAAAATATTGTGCAATGTCATCATGGCTAAGATAAAAAATAATAATTTATTAGAAATTAGTTATTAAAACTATTACAGGGGGGCAATATAAATTAATACAGTTGATTGAAGTCAGAATTATTAGCCCCCATTGTATTTTTTAAAAAAAAAATCCTAAATTAGGTTTAACAGAGCAAGAAAATTTTCAGTTTGTCTGATAATGTTTTTTCTTCTGGAGAAAGCCTTATTTGTTTGATTTTGGCAAGAATTTAAGCAGATTTATTTTTTTATGAACCATTTTAAGGACAAAATGATTAGCCCCTTTAAGCTAATTTTTTTCAATAGTCTAGAGAACAAACCATCATATACAATAACTTGCCTAATTACCCTAACCTGCCTAGTTAACCTAATTAACCCAGTTAATTAGTTAAAAGTTTAATTAAAGTTAAACTATTATGTTTAGAAATGTGTTGAAAAAATCTTCCCTCTGTTAAACAGAAATTGAGGGAAAAAATCAACAGGGGGGCTAATAATTCAAGGGGGCTAATAATTCTGACTTTAACTGTATATATATATATATATATATAATATCAGTTTAATGTGTAGATTGGTTTAAAAAATGAGTGACTTAAACAGTAGAGTATTATTGTGATGTAATCATTTGAATAATTTAGAGCTTTTATTTAGTTTATTTTAGTTTAAAAGGTTATTCTGGAGATATATAAATGACATGTGATGCATATTAAATGGAAAGTGTGGTGCATTGATTAGAATCTATATTTGCCATGGGAAACTGAATCGAAATGTGGTTTAAGTGAGATAAATAGACAGAGTTTTTTTGTCAAGTTCCTTTTTAGTTTATGCAAAAGTGCCCCAGCGAAGGCAAATTAGCGATGTTCGTTCTTTCGGTTTGTTATTGTTATATGTATGTGGTTGTGTTACTTCCCTTAACATCTCAGAACTGTGTTCGTGGGCTCACACGGTGTCACAACTGTATTTCAACAGGGTCCTGTGAACATGGATAAGACCAAGACATGGAGGATGTGGTTTATGTCTAAATCTCTTTGCACCATCCCATATTGTCCCAACTCAACATGTTTTCACACACACACCTACACACACACCCATAAAAGCAATTTTCCATTTTGTTTGTTTAGTACTATGGGAGTGGATGTATTTTGCTGCTGTGTATCAGTCAAATGTCAATCTCTATTCCATGTTTTTTGTTTAGTATTATGGGTGTGCATGTACAGTTGAAGTCAGAATTATTAGCCCCCCTTTGATTTTTTTTTATATTTCCCAAATATGTTTAGTTTACAAAGCAAGGAACTTTTCACAGTAATTCTTTTTTTCTGAAGAAAGTCTTATTTACTTTATTTTGGCTAGAATAAAAGCAGTTGTTAATTTTTAAAAAATTTAAGCTATTTGTTTTTCGAAAAAGAACAAACCATTGTTATATAATAATTTGCCTAATTACCCTATTCTGCCTAGTTAACCTAATTAATCTAGTTAAGCGTTTAAATGTGACTTTCAGCTGTATAAAAGTGTCTTGAAAAATATCAAGTAAAACATTATTTACTGTCTTCATGGCAAAAAATAAAATAAATCAGTTATTAGGAAACAAGTAAATTAAAATATTATGTTTAGAAATGAAATGAAAAAATCTGCTCTCCTCTACTTCAACTGTATTTTCCTGGTGTGCATGAGTCAAATATAAATCTCTGTAACATTAAAATTTCAGAGAGCAGTCATCAGAAGACTGACTAATAATAATACCAGTGAAATTTCACTGATTTACATCAATTTGGACTGTCCCTATCCTGTAGTTTTAGCATAAAAGGGATTATCTGCAGTTGGCATTGTGGCTCAGTGGTTATCACTGTCGCCTCACAGCAAGATGGTTGCTGGTTTGAGCCATGAATGGGCCAGGTGGCATTTCTGCATGTACTCTCTGTGTATCTCTGTGATCCAGTTTCCCACACAGTCTAAAGATATGTGCAATAGGTGAATTGAATAAGCTAAATTGGCGTAGTGTTTGAGTGTGTGAATGCGAAAGTGTAAGGGTTTCCCAGCACAAGGGATTATCAGCCTTAACCTACAAACGTTATTTGAACCTGAACTTGGCTAATAGCAGTTTTTTTGTTGTTGTTGTTTTTTTTTTTGCACTGGCTTCAGGACCCCCAGGGGACATCAAGTGGGGAAAAGGTTAATGGCAAGAAGATTTTGGCATCTTAAAATAAATTTGGACCTGATCATAATTGGTTATATATCAACACCAGCCCATCATAGGATGAATATACTGTAATAGGGTGTTGGCACCCAATAATCAATGATGGACAAAATGAACAAAGGCTAACAGAAGCAAACAGAAGGCCCAGGCACACAAAATTCACTCAAAATTTTACTGATGTTTATGGGAGGAATATGTTATAGCCCTCAGGCCATCAAACTCCGCTTTCCACTATCAAACTGGAACCATCAGAACTGAACCTTTGAACTTCCTTTAAACTAAAATTTCTTCACATCATGTAAAGCAGAGGTGTCTAAACTCGGCCCTGGAGGGCCGGTGTCCTGCTGAGTTTAGCTCCAACTTGCTTAAACACACCTGCACGGAAGTTTCTAGTATGTCTAGTAAGCTTGATTAGCTGGTTCAGGTGTGTTTGAATAGGGTTGGAGCTAAACTCTCTAGGACACTGGCCCTGCAGGACAGAGTTTGGACACCCCTGATGTAAAGGACAGTCTATGTTTGTGCTGTTGTTTACCTGGGAAATTGAATGTTCCAATGTGAAATGAAAAATCATGATACTCAAGGCTGTGATTGTCCAGGCATGTTGCTTGAGGCCCACTGTTCTGCAGAGTTTAGTTGATAACCAAATTAAAAACACACTTCATTTGGCTAATCACAGCCTTTAAACTTGAAACTTTTAATCAAGTGTGTTGGAGCTGATTAAAATGAAAATGAAATGAGGATGAGTTGAAAAAAGATGAAGGTCATAATGTTTAGATTAGTCTTTGTATCAACCCCAAACCTGCTCCTGCTTTCCCCTCCGGTTAGCTCATATAACAAAGTAAACTGCATTGTCTGAACTAGTGTATTTCTCTCCTTCTGCAGCGGCTCACATTGGTGTGGGCATTAGTGGACAGGAGGGGATTCAGGCTGTGCTGGCATCAGATTACTCCTTTTCCCAGTTCCGCTTCCTGCAGCGACTTCTGCTGGTGCACGGACGCTGGTCCTATCTGCGCATGTGCCGTTTCCTTTGTTACTTCTTCTACAAGAACTTTGCCTTTACTATGGTGCACTTTTGGTTTGGGTTCTTCTGTGGATTCTCAGCACAGGTAAGAGATTTATTCTGAGACTCAAAGAAAGTGTCACATATTAAATGTTATATAAGTCATAACCTTGACTTTATCGTATTGTTATTCTTTCATATAGACTGTCTACGACCAGTACTTCATTACTCTCTACAATATCGTATACACGTCCCTGCCTGTATTAGCCATGGGCATCTTCGATCAGGTAAGAAAAAGCAAGCTTGCCTCAAATACTGACTCATTTTGTTTGCCTTTTATGAGAAATCCAATCCCCATCTATCTCAGGATGTTCCTGAACAAAGGAGCCTGGAGTATCCGAAGCTGTATGAGCCAGGTCAGCTGAACTTGCTGTTTAACAAGCGCGAGTTCTTCATCTGCATCGCTCAAGGAATCTACACCTCCGTGGTTCTGTTCTTCATACCCTACAGCGTTCTCTCTCACGCCACACAGAGCAATGGAGTCCCTCTAGCAGACTATCAGACTTTTGCGGTAACCACAGCAACGGCCCTCGTCATCGTTGTCAGCGTCCAAGTGAGTTCATGCAGAATAATTGATTTAGCAAACATACATAAGCAATGAAGGTACAAGATGTCATTTTCTCCTCTAGAGGGAGCATATTCACAACAATCAATGGCGTAGTTTGATGACACTGGAATCATGGGAGTTATCGCCTTCATTTTGTCCTACCGCAGAAATCATGTTCATGGATGAGCTAAAAAATTATCCCTAACTTATTATCATGGTAGGATAGTATGAAGCAAATCAAATCAAATCACTTTTATTGTCACATCATCAGCAGCACGTGTGCTATGATGAGTGAAAAGCTTAGGTGCTGGCTCCAGACAGTACAAAATACAGATGGTGCAAATAAAATGACAATGTGAAATTGACAGCGATATGTACAATAAATTGGTGTCCTGTCCACATAGTTGTAAGCAGTACTGTTTCAAGTATGGATTGGCCAAAGTGCAAAGCCACTCAAGTAAAACGAGACCTCTAAAACAATTGCTGATGAGAGACAAGCACAATGCGGAACGAAAGCAGTGGAGCTTTTGTATGTCACAGTCGACCGCTTCCAGTCATTCCGGTTATGATCATGTGAGGATTTTAGGGTCCTGTTATAATGCTGCTTTGTGAGGTCTAATAAAATGTACAACATATTTACATGTAAAACACACCAGTGATTTGGTTGTTTTGCTGTTTTCTATACAGAGTGTTCACGGGGTCTTAAAAAGTATTAAAAGTTGATAAATCAAGTTCGTTATTTCTAATATTAGAATATATCGTCACCTTGGAATTATAAGATTCTATCTGCATTCTGAATGATTTTGAGATATTGAGCTTCAAAGTTTTTGCATTCCATAGCAAACAGTATGTGTGTAACAATAGTTCCCCTTCGGTTGGGGAACTTCAGTGCCATGAATGGGAGGATTCGGATCAGAAGCCGCTTATCTGGAGAGTATTGAACGGGCCAATGAATGAAATTAATTGGCAGCGTAAGCTTGCGCAGGTGTGCGACATCTGCAATCATCTCAGCATATAAGCACACCTGAAGCCAGCAGACGCCATCCTTTTCGCTTCAGATCCTTTCTGAGTGAGTCGATGAGGGTTCCTCTTGCTGATCAGCACTTCAGAGCGAACGAGTGTGTCTCCCGGTCCAGAGTGGGTCTTCGCGGTGGCAGACGGTCGAGCTGGGTTACTCCCTTGCCTGCGGTTCTTTGGGTCCGGTCCTCCAGAGCGGTGCGTATAGTTGCAACTTTCCTAAAAGAGCAACACAGTCGTGCAGCACGTCCTTTTCAGGATGGCGCTCCGACTGTGCGTTTCTGGATGCGGGGGTTTCCTGTCTCCGGATGATGGACACGATCACTGCATTGCATGTTTGGGGGTCCAGCATGTTAATGCGGTGCTCGCGGGCGGTTCATGTCGTCATTGCGATGCCATGACCGTTGCACAGCTAAGATCGCGGCTAACTTTCGCAAGAGAGCGAGCCACCCCAGTTGCCTCCTGTTCTAAAAAAGCAGCGGGCGCTCGGGCAGATCTGAGGGTTTCAGCGGGAGCTAATCCGCCGCCCACGGGCTCGCGGACCTCTCGCTCCTCACGGCGCTCCATCCAAGCTTCGGGTGGTGAGAGTGATCCGTCTAACCAGATGGTAGCTCTCACACTCGCTGACACCGGAGATCAGATGTCCTCCGCGGCATCGGAGGGTGGGCTTTCACTGTCCGACGAAGATCCGGACCCGCTCGCCCCCTCCGGGCAGGTGAGCGCTGTCAAATCGGATCCTGAAGCGGACATGTTAGCCGTGCTTTCCCGGGCTGCTTCGGCCGTGGGGTTGGAGATGGTTTATCCCCCAGCTCCGCGGCCGGACCGACTAGATGGGTGCTACGTAGAGGACCAGAAGGCGAAGCCTTCGAAGCCTCTCGTCCCCTTCTTCCCGGAAGTGCACAGTAGGCTCACGCAGTCCTGGAGGGCACCTTTCTCTGCCCGTGCTGCGAGTGCCTCCGCCCTCACCGCCCTTGACGGCGGAGCTGCCAGGGGGTATGAGGCGATCCCGTCAGTGGAGCGCGCTATCGCGGTCAATCTTTGTCCGCGCGGCGCCTCTACGTGGCGGGGTTTGCCCCGCCTCCCGTCCAAAGCCTGTAGGTTGTCTGCCTCCCTCGGAGCCAGAGCTTATAAGGCTGCGGGCCAGGCTGCTTCTGCTTTGCACGCGATGGCCACCTACCAGCGCTACCAAGCGCAGGCGCTGGCCGAGCTGCACGAGGGCGGGTCCAACCCAAGCTTATTACATGAGCTGCGCACCGCGACCGACTATGCTCTTCGGACTACTAAGTCCGCCGCGTGTGCGCTGGGGAGGACGATGTCCACACTTGTGGTTCAGGAACGCCACCTCTGGCTAAACCTGGCCGATATGCGCGACGTTGACAAAGTTCGCTTTCTTGACTCGCCCATATCCCAGGCTGGCCTGTTCGGCGACACCGTCGGTGAATTCACCCAGGAATTCAAGGCGGTGAAAGAGCAGTCGGATGCGATGGGCAATGTCATCTATCGGCGTGGCCGTAAGCCCGCCCCGCCCGCCGAGCCATCCACCTCCGCTGTTCCTCGCCGAGGGCGCCCGCCAACGAGTGCTGCCCCGCCCCCGCCTGCGCCTCCGGCCAAGCGGGCGCGGCGTTCACCTCGAAAGCAGGCAGCCCCTCCTGCCCAGGGCGCCGTTAAGTCCGGTAAACGGACCGCGAAGCGTCCCTGAGACAGGCCATCCGGAGAAGAGGAAACTTGCTCTTTTCCCGCTGGAGGGCGGGGCCCCGATAACAACGGTACTTTTCAGTGCCACCAAAACATCAGTAAAAGAGCACTTTTTCCCTTCCCCGGATGTGACTGCACGAGTTCTGCCAGTCCGGGACGCGCTGCCTTCCGGCTCGCAGACTCTACGTGCTTCGCCAGTGGCTCACGAGCGCTGGGGGGACGGTCTCCCTTCCCTCAGCCCTCCAGCCCCCTCTCCGGAGTCAGGGTGCGGAGCCAGAGCGAATCGCTCTCCTCCAGCTTTTCCGCGGGACCCTCGTGCTTCCCGGATCAGCACACCCACTCCGCGCTGCCCCACCGCTGGTACGTCAGCGATTGTAGCGATGACTCCATTAGCGAGGGCTCTGCCTGCCTGGTTAGCGCGGGCCAGCCCCTCGCGGTGGCTCATACGCACAATCAGACTCGGTTACGCGATTCAGTTCGCGAAACGGCCCCCCAAGTTTACGGGCGTGTATTTCTCCAGGGTCAACCCCCTGTCCGCCCCTGTCTTGCGAGAGGAGATTGCTGCCCTCCTGGCGAAGGGTGCAATCGAGCCGGTTCCTCCAGCCGAGATGGAGAGTGGGTTTTACAGCCCATACTTCATCGTACCCAAAAAGAGCGGTGGGTCACGGCCAATCCTAGATCTGCGCGTTTTGAACCGCTGTCTGCACAAGCTGCCGTTCAGAATGCTCACGCAGAGGCGCATTCTCCAATGCGTTCGTCCTCGGGATTGGTTTGCAGCCATAGACCTGAAGGACGCGTATTTCCATGTCTCCATTCTTCCACGCCACCGCCAATTTCTGCGGTTTGCGTTCGAGGGTCGAGCGTGGCAGTACAAGGTCCTCCCCTTCGGGCTCTCTCTGTCTCCGCGGGTCTTCACCAAACTCGCGGAGGGTGCCCTAGCGCCCCTTCGGCCCGCGGGCATTCGCATACTCAATTATCTCGACGACTGGCTGATTTTAGCCCACTCGCGGGAGCAATTGATTATGCACAGGGACGAGGTGCTTCGGCATCTCCGCCTACTGGGGCTTCAGGTCAACCGAGAAAAGAGCAAACTCGCCCCCGTGCAGAGGATTTCTTTTCTCGGGATGGAGCTGGACTCGATCACCATGGTAGCGCACCTCTCCGAGGAACGCGCTCGCCTGTTGCTGAACTGTCTGAGGGAGCTCGACAGCAAACTAGTGGTCCCACTGAAGTTCTTTCAGAGGCTCCTGGGGCATATGGCATCCGCAGCCGCCGTCACGCCGCTCGGGTTGCTCCATATGAGACCACTTCAGCACTGGCTTCACGATCGGGTCCCCAGACGCGCATGGCACGCGGGCACACACCGGGTCTCGGTTACTGCGCTGTGTCGCCGCGCCCTCAGCCCTTGGAACGACCCCTCGTTCCTACAGGCCGGTGTGCCTCTAGGACAGGCGTCCAGCCATGTTGTTGTTTCAACAGACGCTTCCAACACGGGTTGGGGGGCCGTGTGTCGCGGGCATGCGGCTGCGGGCCTCTGGAAGGGTGCCCAGCTGCATTGGCATATCAATCGCCTAGAGCTGTTGGCAGTGTTCCTCGCTCTCCACCGCTTTTTACCGGTGCTGGAGCGGCAACACGTGCTGGTCAGGACGGACAGTACGGCGGCGGCGGCGTATATCAACCGCATGGGGGGTATGCGCTCTCGCCGCATGTCTCAGCTCGCCCGCCGTCTGCTCCTCTGGAGTCACCCGCGGCTGAAATCGCTGCGCGCCATTCACGTCCCAGGCACGCTCAATCGTGCAGCCGATGCGCTCTCACGACAGCTGTTACGCCCTGGAGAATGGAGACTCCACCCCGAGTCTGTTCAGCTGATATGGGCGCGATTCGGGGAGGCCCAGATCGATCTGTTTGCTTCCCCCGAGAACGCTCACTGCCAGTTGTTTTTTTCCCTGACCGAGGGCTCTCTCGGCACGGATGCACTGGCCCACAGCTGGCCTCGGGGCATGCGCAAGTATGCGTTTCCCCCAGTGAGCCTGCTCGCGCAGTTTCTGTGCAAGGTCAGGGAGGACGAGGAACAGGTTCTGCTAGTTGCGCCCCTTTGGCCCAACCGGACCTGGATATCAGAGCTCTCACTCCTCGCGACGGCCCTCCCCTGGCGGATCCCTTTGAGAGAGGACCTACTCTCTCAGGGACAGGGCACCATCTGGCACCCTCGCCCCGATCTTTGGAACCTCCACGTGTGGTCCCTAGACGCGAGGAAGACTTAGGTAACCTACCGACTGCGGTGGTTAATACCATCACTCAGGCTAGAGCCCCCTCCACGAGGCGCGCCTACGCCCTGAAGTGGAGTCTATTCACTGAATGGTGCGTCTCTCGCAGAGAAGACCCCCGAAATTGCCAGATTAGTGTTGTGCTCTCTTTCCTTCAAGAGAAGTTGGACAGCAGGCTGTCGCCCTCCACTCTCAAGGTTTACGTGGCCGCCATCTCCGCTTATCATAGCGCGGTAGCTGGCGGCACCGTGGGAAAGCATAACCTGGTCATCCAGTTCCTTAGGGGTGCTAGGCGAATTAATCCATCTCGCCCCCCTCTCATGCCCTCTTGGGATCTCGCCCTCGTTCTCACGAGTCTGCGATCCGATCCCTTTGAGCCACTCGAATCAGTATCTCTAAGATTTCTGTCCCTGAAGACAGCTCTGCTGGTTGCGTTGGCCTCCATCAAGAGGGTCGGGGACCTGGAGGCATTTTCGGTCAGTGACTCGTGCCTGGAATTCGGGCCGGATTACTCTCACGTTATCCTGAGACCCCGCCCCGGTTATGTGCCCAAGGTTCCTACCACCCCCTTTAGAGATCAGGTAGTGAACCTGCAAGCGCTGCCCCCGGAGGAGGCAGACCCAGCCCTTTCTTTACTTTGTCCAGTTCGCGCTCTGCGCATTTATGTGGACCGTACTCAGAATTTTAGATCATCTGAGCAGCTCTTTGTCTGTTATGGCGGTCGGCAGCAGGGAAGTGCCGTATCGAAACAAAGATTATCCCACTGGATTGTGGATGCCATTTCACTCGCTTATTCGAGTCGAGGTCAGCCGTGTCCCCCGGGAGTACGTGCACACTCCACTCGGAGCGTTGCATCCTCTTGGGCGCATGCACGCGGCGCCTCTCTAACAGACATCTGTAGAGCTGCGGGCTGGGCGACACCCAACACATTTGCAAGGTTTTACAATCTGCGAGTGGAGCCGGTTTCCTCAAGGGTATTAGGTAACCCTTTGGTGATTGAGGAGACAACTCGGTAGGGTGTTGAAACACGCTTGCTGCGCCATTCTCCCTAACACGGAGGTACGTGCGCCTTTTTTATCTGTCAGTAAAGTTCCCCGTCAGGTGAGCCCTGCAGATTCCTCCGTGGCCCCCAGCACTGACTCAGCGGAGGAGTCACTTGCTGGCCCACTACGTTGTAGGTCTGCCCGCTGGTCAGCCCGCGTTTTGGGTATAGGTGCCTGCTATGCGTGATCCCCACTAGGCGATCCCATATGCTTATTCCGCCACGGTTAAGTCCCCCCCCTGGGCGGACCCGTGTCTTCCCTCTCCGCTAACCACTCTTTGCTATGCGTACTCCCCCTTTTTAGGGCTAGTCCATAGGTAAATTCTGCCATCTATCCCCCCCTTGGGTAACGGATGGCCTCCGCAGCGTCCTCCCTATCGGGATTGCACGCTTCCCAACGTACTGTCGTATTTCCTAGAATTATCTAGATGCTCACGACTTCCCAAAATATATATCTAAATCCGTAAAACTTCTGTTGAAGTAGGATAAATTAGGGCCAGGGACACGTTGGAGGACCGCGCCCCCCATGATGTGGGTGCGTCACGCTTGCTTGACTATCTCCTCATCGGGGGTGTTGGTAAGGTGCAGTCATTATGGCGCTTTCCATATTCTCCCATTCATGGCACTGAAGTTCCCCAACCGAAGGGGAACGTTCGAGGTTACAGAAGTAACCCTTCGTTCCCCGAGGAGGGGAACGGAAGTGCCATATTCCGTCGCCATAATGACTGTCCCTTAGCTGTTTGAAAGTCTCTTCAGCTTAAAAGGATGGCGTCTGCTGGCTTCAGGTGTGCTTATATGCTGAGATGATTGCAGATGTCGCACACCTGCGCAAGCTTACGCTGCCAATTAATTTCATTCATTGGCCCGTTCAATACTCTCCAGATAAGCGGCTTCTGATCCGAATCCTCCCATTCATGGCACTTCCGTTCCCCTCCTCGGGGAACGAAGGGTTACTTCTGTAACCTCGAACGTTTTTTTTAAATAAAACGGTCTTAAAATGTAAAAAGCTTTAAAAAAAACATTCCATTATGTATACTGACCTTATTCTAAAATGCGGAAGTACGCCTGTTTTCGCGATTGTCTTAGAACTTCCGTTTGAGTCGCCTATGGGAGAAATGACAAGGAATAATAAACGGCAAAAAACATTCAAACTACTTGCTCTACAAACAAATGTTTGCATGACTATACAGACCAAGTAGAATAATATAACAAAGAAATATCAGTTTGCAACATCAAACAGCGAAACGAGCAGTTTTTAATGTCGAAAAATGAATGGAAGTGAATGAGACCGGAAGTCTCGTGCCAAAAAGATTCAAATGGCAGCGCCCGCTCGTCTGCGGAAGATAAGGTCAATATAAGTTGTCATTTAATAAGAATATGTCAATTACTCAATTTTGACAAAAATGTCATATAGAACCTTATAATTCTAAGATAACGATATGTCAATTTGCATGAGCAAACGGAGCAATGCGCTCACGTCTTTCAGACGCACAGAGTAGAAAACATCTCACGCTGTAGTGGCTCTCACTGCAATGTAAACAAAAGATATGTTTACGAATTTGCGACAAATTATTACAAATTATTAAAATGATTATGAATGCAGATGATAACAACTGTTCATTTAGCAGGCCTCTCATTTGGGATGCTTTTCATAAACTGGCCGTCATGACAAACTAATTAAATAGCACTGCCATAGAGCAAAACAGATGGCAAAATGGGATAATACAAGTTTGCGTACTCCTGGTTGGAGAAAAACGAGTTTAAACAGTGGCTAAAACCTGTCGCTGAAAACAACTGCGTAATTTATTCTTTCAAGGTTTGTTTCTTCCGAGCTTATCTAAGTCCTTTTTCATGGTTGTGCTCCATTCATTTATTTAACTACATCTGTTTATTAACAACTGTTTATTAAGTTAAAGGTTTGATACTGATTAGAACTTAAAGTTGCTATGAGGTCTAAAAATATTCTGAGAAGGTCTTTAAAAAGTCTTGAAAAGGTATTGAAATTTCCTTTGGGATTCCTGCATATACTCTGTTTATAAAACCAAACTGAAAACTGAGGGTGTGTAATGTCATTAGCACGACAACACAAGAGGACACAGCTAAAACTGTTAAAAACTATTCTTTAAAATTAAATGATCTTAAAATTGTTAAGAAATTTGTATGGACCCTTTTTACAAGACTGTTATGATGAATTTAACGATCATCATAATCTTAAATCCTTAAAAGTTTTTATTATTTTGATTAAAAAAAAAGCGTATGAACATTTATATGCATTTATGAATGTATTATATCATCTTTGCGTCTAATTACAAAAATCGAATAACCGCTTATGCGAGGAGTTTCTAATGCAGTGTCTATGGAGCTGAGAGAAAATTTACGCTATTCTCTCTTCTGCCTGCAGTCAGCAGTTTCACACATTTTTTTTCCTTTTCCTGAAAGCCTTGATAAAATCATTGTGTAGTAAATAGGATTGTAAAAAATGTGACCAGTTCCAATTCACTGCTACTGAAAAACCTGGAAATGTGAAAAGAGTATATCAAGATCTCCTACAACAGGTTTACATGCAAGCAATGTTCAAAAAAGCAAACACTGCAGCATTGCCCCATTTTTCACATTATCTCAAACAGTTCATTTAAGGATGTGCTCTATCTAATCTCCTTCTTTTCAAGAGCTTTTGTTATTTCTCTTTCATGGGTTTATATAGTACAAATGTATTTTAAAACAAATTTTAATTGCTTTTTTGGATTATAGATTGCTCTGGATACAGGCTACTGGACAGCTATAAATCATTTCTTTGTATGGGGCTCTTTGGGTACCTACTTCACCATCCTCTTCGCCATGCACTCCAGCATCCTGTTCAGCATCTTCCCCAAGCAGTTCCATTTCCTCGGTGAGTCAACATGTTTGGTCCAGCTGTTTGGCTGCCATGAGGCATGAAATTGGGTTACAATTAGTGTGTCACAAGCTCAAACTATTAGCTATATCAGGGGTGTCCAAACTCGGTCCTGGAGGGCCAGTGTCCTGCAAAGTTTCGTTTCAACCCCAATCAGACACACCTGGGCTACCTAATCAAGCTCTTACTGAGCTTTCTAGAAATATCCTTGGAGGTGTGTTGAGGCAAGTTGGAGCAAAAATCTGCAGGACACCGGCCCTCCAGGACCTACTTTGGACACCCCTGAGCTATAACATTCAGATAAAGTAGCATTATTCTATATTCAGCTTTTTAAATGACAAAATAGTAATTCAAATAATTGTTCATTATTAAACTACCATTTAAATAAAACAAATATCACATTTTAAACAAATGCTTCAAATATTCATAATAGAATGATTCCTAAAGACACAAGGCTGGAGTAATGATGCTGAAAAGTCAGCTTTGAATAACAGGAATGTAATTTATTAAAATTTTATTAAATTAGTAAACATTATTTTTGAATAATAGTTTAGAAAATTTGTATTTTCCTTTATTTTTAATCAAATAAATGCAGCTTTGGTGAAATTAAGACACCTGTCTTTTGAAATTAATACTGTTCTGTGTATATAAAACTACTTTTGAAGTCCTGTAGACCAGTGCTTCACGCCTGATTTAGATCATCAGCTCATTAGCAGAGACTGAAAGACCTGTAATGGGTATGCCGGACAAAAGAGACATCCAAAACATGTAGTGTTGATGGCCCTATTAACCAATAATGTAAATATACACTAGGGCTGCACAATATTTCGTTTTAGCATTGATATCGCAATGTATGTGTCTGCAAAAGTCACATTGCAGTATTTGCAATGTTAAGTTGGGATTGTAGTCGATCAACACATGAGAATACATGACATTCGTGGAGTCATTTCATAGTATGATCATAACAGAGTGAAAATGTATCATTTGCATGTGTTTTAAAGGCATTGAAAAAAAAGTTTAAAGCATTTGGACACAATAACGTAAAATATCTTTAAACGCTAAAAACTTTAATGAAGAAAAAATGTACTGATTTATTAATAAAATGAAGACTATACAGTGTTATTTAACCTTACATTATTAAATGTCTGTATCTCAATAATGTTTGACTCTCCTGAAAACCATAAAGCACTGTTTATTTAACTGTAATTATTCTTGCAAACATTTTTAAATACATGAATCACACCCTTACAAAATCAACCCAACCAATCTAAATCAACGTATTCTTTCAAAAATAGACACTATTCAAGCTATCTGTATTCATATTGCAATATATATCACAGCAAATCACAATATCGCAATGTCAGATTTTTCCAATATCGTGCAGCCCTAATGTACACTCTATTAACAACTATTTAACGAAATTACTGTCTTTAAAAATAAGTGGGATGTTTTTAATTCTATCTTGTTTACAATATTTATAATCTTGATTCAAAAGTGTGGCTTATTTTGTTTTTGTGTGTTTCGTGCATTAATTAACCACAGGAAGTGCCCATAACACACTCGGGCAGCCAGTGGTGTGGTTAACTATTGCTTTGGCAACCGTCATCTGTATTGCTCCAGTCCTTGCTTTCCGCTTCCTCAAACTGGACCTTAAACCTCAGCTCTCAGATACCGTAAGTATGTGTGTAACCCTAGTCTGTCTGTCCTAAATCTTACATTTAAATTTCTTTGTATAGTACATGTCGTTTTATATTATCTAAAGTTTAATTATCAGTAAAGAAAAGATAAGACCTTTTGGATACTAAAGATAAAGATGACATGTTGATATCCTTATTTCATAAAAAATATTAATTTATAAAAATAGCCAGTCCACACCCCTGCTATAGCTATAGAGGTACGAAGGAATAAAATCATTGAAATCACGTTCAATATTAATTTCATAAGACTAGGGATGCTCCAATCAGAATTTTTGCAGTCGATCCCGTACTGATTATTTGTCATGGTGATCGGCTGATACTGAGTACTGATTCTGATGCTTTAAACTTTATAATGCATAAAGCACATTTTCCCTCTTAGTGTGATACTTTAGTGGAGATCTTGCATTACCTAAGAGAATATATGAAGGAAGAGAACACATCTCTTTTAACCATTTAGTGTGGACATGTCATGGCCACTTTACAGAAAATAATATAACACAGATATAAATATTGGTAAGAAAAATGGCAAACAATGCAATTTGGAAACATTGCAAATGATGAAAGAAGAATTCAACATGTCTCAATCAAGAAAAAGTTTGGAGTGCATATTTGATGCAAAAGAAGAAAATCCACACTCATCTATCCATTACTTCTTTACTAAAAGGAAATATACCTATAAACTATTGTTTATTGCAATAAGTATATTGCAAGTTATATTATTAACTATTCATGAAAAAAAAATGGTAACACTTTATTTTGATGGTCCTTTTAAGTATTAGAAGACTGTCTTCTTAATATCTGTTGATATTGCTCCTTCAACAGACAAGTACATGTCAACTTACACTAACCATAACCCCAATCTAACAGTCTACTTATAATCTACTGAGAATTAGTTGGCATGAAGAAGCAATGTAACTTAATTCAACGAACAGACCATCAAAATAAAGTGTGACCAAAAAAAAAAAAAAAAAGACTAATAAAATAATAATGCGACAATAAACAGGTTACAGCGTATCTGTATCTATTTTAGCTGTTATGACGCGAGCTCATTTACTTATGCCTCCGAGCATCATTTACCTCCTCATGTGTTGTGGCCGCTTTAGGCTATGCATAATATACGGGAGCGCATGTGCATCTTCCTCTGCTTTTAAACTCATAAACAAAGCCCTGCGTTCAGTTCATGAGATCAGCCTCATTGGCGTGTACTGATTGAGCCATTACATGTGATTATTGGCAGATACCAATCTTCGGCTGATCGTTCAGAGCATCCCTACATAAGACACTCACTAAATGTTATTCTGTTTAACAAAAGTTTACATGTATCAAGTTTATATATAGAACATGAATTGCCATTAGACATAACATGTCTTTTAATAAGTAAATTAAGGGTTAAAAATATTAAAGAAACACTTTATGATGCAATATTGAGTTAATTGATACCGCTGATGTTAAATGATATTTTCAAATCAATTATTAAAACTAATATCAAATAATATGTTTCTATAGTTGTGGTTTAATGTACTTTTGTCTTCATTTGGTTGTGGTGTTTGTGTCTCATGTTATGGTTTAATGCGATTGTGTCTTTTTATTTGGTTTTGGTATTATTTTTATTGTTTTATTTTATTTACATTTTTGGTCACACTTTATTTTGATGGTCTGTTTGTTGAATTTAAGTTACATTGCATGTACATGGTAACTAATTCTCAGTAGATTATAAGTAGACTGTTAGGTTGGGGTTAGGGTTAGTTTATGTTGACATGTACTTGCAAATTGTCTTATAGTCTGTTAAAGGAGCCGTATCAACAGATATTAAACAGATTGTCTACTAATGCTCAAATGGACCATCAGTTTTACCTATATTTTTTGATGATGATTTAATGTATATTTGTCACTTTACTGTATATGTTGAATCTCAAAGAATAGCCACTACGCTGGTCGCGGCTAATGGGGATCTAAGTAAATAAACAATAAACTTATCTTGTTAGGCATATTTAGAACAAGAATAACATATTAAAAGATTAATTTATTTATCCAAAATACAAAATTTTGTTTAGAAATAGCCCATTATGGGCGGTGTGTGGGTTTGCTCCGGGTGCTTCGGTTTCCCCCACAGTCCAAAGGCTGAATGAATAATGAATAGCCCGATGAATGAATAGCCCATTACGGACTAGGGTTTACTCATTTGTCAGCAAGTGGATTTTTATTTTATTTTATTTAGATTTTAAGAACTTACCATAACATTTACTATGAATAGGCAAAATTTTATAATATATTCTATATTTTGTATATATAGAATTTTGTATAAACAGAATTCCTTTGTGTTTTAATAACTACAAGTCAAAATAAGGAAGTTACAAAAACAAATCCAGTAAATGCTAAATAACAATTAAACATTAGTCCACACATATCTCGAAACTATTTTTTAATATTGTTTATGTATTAAATCTAAATTTACTTCAATTCATAGAATAAAGCCTTGTCTTTAACACACAAATTTGCATTACCATGAAATGTATAAGGATACATCTAAAAGTATAAACACCTACTTATTTATTTATTTATTTATTTATTTATTTATTTTAAAACATGTTCAGTGAATTTATGCTACTGATTGTTGGATAGTAACAGTTGGTTGATCTTCTTATATTCTGATTCACCGCTTTGAGTATATTTGCTTTGCATCAGTAGGTTTGACACATGAGATTAGTTTCTGGCTGTCCCCTCACACTCATTATTATGCTGTTTGTGTGTCAGGTGCGCTACACTCAGTTGGTGCTGCAGAAGAAGCGAAAGCCTGGTGGGCGCGCGGCTCGTGGAGTGGGCAGCACTGGAGCTGCCGGAGGCAGTGGTCTTGGTCGTTTGGGCAGAGGCGGATCTCGACGCTCTGGCTATGCGTTTGCCCATCAGGAGGGCTTTGGCGAGCTGATCACATCAGGGAAAAATATGCGACTGAGCTCTCTGGCCCTTGCCACCTTTGCCTCCCGCCACAGCAGTAGCTGGATTGATACGCTCCGCAGAAAAAAACACACAAACAACACCGGGGCTCAGAACACCCCACCCACTGGAGATGACATCACCACCTCCTCTCAGGTTCCTCCCATTTCCACAGCTTCCACACCAAATGTTCAACAGGACTCAGCGGCAGGTGATGCAGGACAGGCGAGCAATGAAGTGGCTTTCACGCACAGTCCTGAAGACATTGCTCTTAGTGTGGTCAGAGACAGAGACGCTGGAGGATGTAGTGCTGGAAGTGTGCAGGTAAATATATAAATATATCTTGAGACAAGTTACAATACAAATACAAACATATACAGTCACAATACAAACATGTACAGTATTGTGATTCCACGGGTGTTTTCACATGATAAGTGGTATTACCGTTTCCACATTGTAATAACATCAGGGTTCCCCCTGCTCCAGGGTCATGGAATTTATGGAATGCCATGGAACTTCAAAAAAGTCTATTCTAGCCATTGAAAGTCAGGGAGCTATTTTTTGTGTCACACTTTATTTATTAAACAATTCACAATATTAACAAACAATTACCACCCATTAACTAAGCTACTAATTAGCTGCTTATTAAAAGTTTGTAAGATAGTAGTTAGGTTTAGGCATTTAGTAGGATTAGGGATGTAGAATAATAATTAATGATAACAATTCCTTACATTTATATAGTGCTTTTCTGGGCACTCAAAGTGCTTTACACAATGGGGGTGGGGATCTTCTTATCCACCACCAGTGTGCAGCTTCCACCTGGATGGAGTGACGGCAGCCATTTTGTGCCAGACCGCACACCACACACCAGCTGATTGCTGGAGAGGAGACATAGTGATGAAGCCAATTATGATATCGGAAGGCTTAGGAGGCCATGATGGACAGGCCAGTTGGCAAATTTGGCCAGGATGCCGGGGAGAAACCCGTACTCTTTTTCAAAGGACATCCTGGGATTTTTAACTACCACAGAGAGTCGGGACCTCGGTTTAACGTCTCATCCAAAAGAATAAGATCATACTTTATATCTTAATAATATGCAGGTAATAAGCCAGTAGTAAATGGTTGGAATTGTTATTAAACTAAATTGTTAAAGAAAGTGTTACTTTTTAACATATTTTTTGTCATGGAATATCTTGGATAAAAAAAAAGCAAAAAAAGTGAAAAAAACACAAATTTACTCTTATTCTTAGTTATTTTTGTGTTTAGTTGGAATTTAGTTTTTCTTGGAATTCAAGATCGATTGGTCTCTGCAATTTATATAAAGGGAACACTGGGGGAAACAAAGAGAGAAGGTGTTTAACTCTTATCATATACAGCTATTATATCAAATTTGACGCATAAATTATTCTAAATAATCAAAATAAACGAAAGTCTCTTGAACAAAAACATTAGAAAAAAAATATGTTCAAATTTCAAATTTTAGGTATTGATAGAATGAACACAGTCTATGGATGTTTAGATCAGGTTTATATCTTTTTTGGAGCATATTATTGCTTAAAGAGACAGTACCTTAACACTAGCAAACTGACTCTAACATCTAAAAATATTTTTTTAAATGTAATTAAAAAAAAATTGTAAGCTCTGAAATTTTGCCACCACTTGCTTTATTTTGCTTTTAATTCAGTGAAATTAAAAAAAAAAAAAAAGTCAGGAAATTTGATATTTGGTTTAAAGTGAAAACTCTGCAACATGCAATAAAACATATCATAAAATAAATATATTATGAGGATTTGTGTTCAGATTATTATCTGAATGTAATAATAATAATAATAATAATAATAATTCCTTACATTTTAAATATCGCTTTTCTGGAAACTCAAAGCCCTTTACACTATGGGGGGAATCTCCTCATCCACCACCATATAAGGTGAACATGATGTAAAAAATGTAGTCCTGGCATTCTGTTAATTGACAAAACAAACAGAAAGAATTGTCCCAAGAAGAATTTGTGTCATTTACAAGATCACAAGCAGTAATCTGAGACAGATTGCTGTTTTTAACTGATAGAAATATGCATTCAAATTAGTCTTTTGTTTTCCTGTTTTTCATCAAGCTTTATATCGCTTTATCTAGAACCATTAATCTAACATTTGCCTGAATAAACATATCATTGTTAAAAGAGCTTAAATGAGATCTCAAGAGAATAAAAAGGATATGGATGACAGCTATGATTTTTATCATAACCCATGTTTTTTTGTTTTTTTTTTAACACAATGAACACACTTTATTTTGGTACAATATTTCATAACAGTCCCGTAAAAATCATGTCTTAGGTCAGATTTAGTATGTGGTGTTTTGAGAATTTTTTCCACATTAGTGGTTGCACTGCCAAAACAATCTGATCTAAGGCAACTTCTTTGACAGTTTAATCTAACATGTGGTCAAATTGTCATCTACTTCTAAAATACTAAGTTGTTTCAGAGCAAATTTAAGTAAAACTTTACAAACCTTTCTATTAGGTTAAAATCTAAACTTAATATGTCAATTCTTAAACATCACAGCACATTGTTAAAGCACACTAGTTTGGTGGGATTTAAACACTGCAGCTTGAACTCAATATGTTATGGAATATCAGGGGGCACATGAAAACGTTTATGACCACTTCAGGGTGAGCAAATGTTGAGGACATAATTTTTTGGTTTAACTGTGCCTTTAATAGCAGGTGTTACAGGCAGTTATACAACACTGGACAGAAAGTTGATTCTGTTAAAGCCCTGACATTCTACAGTATGTATGGACAAATAAGAAAGAGAAAATTTCCCCCAAGGAGAAAACGGCAGGAAACAGAACTATTAAAAACACTTTCATTTCTCACTTTTTACATGTTGTAGTGGTCTCAGATGTCGCTGGTGTGAGTTCCCCAATAATTAGGAAAATCCTTTAGCTTATGGTTCTTTTTTGTTTTAGTGACTACATTAGTTCAAATGTATGCGGCCATTCGCTGTGTATGTTTATTATGTATATGTAAATACACACATGTGCAAACATTTGAGATTTTAGATAAAAAATTCTATATTAGATGTAATATAGATTTAAATATCTATGTAAATAGTTTGTTTTGTATAGTTTTCTTTTATGTATCTGTGTGTATTTATACATAATAAACAGCACACACATATTAAGTTAATAATAATTGATCATAAAGCAGGGAGTAAGCTAAAGGTAAGTAAGTGAGTGAGTGAGTGATCACTAGTCTTTGCCTAACACTAATAATAGCATTCAAAAATGACTGAAAAGTAACAATAACATTGTAACAACAGATTTTTTTTTTTTGTATTTAAATAAAGTTTTTTTTTTTTTTTTAGAATTAGCAAAGAATACTGTCAAATGTTTCCAGAAAAATATGAAGAAATATGATTGTAATGTAAAGTAAGACGCTGACAAAGAAGTGCGGATCCAAACGCCGGTTTATTAAGAATAGTCAGGCAAGCAATGGTCAATACAGGAACAAATAGATGTACAGTTGAAGTCAGAATTATTAGCCCCATTTTCATTTTCTTTATTAAATATTTCCCAAAGGATGTTTAACAGATCAATGAAATTTTTACAGTATGTCTGATAACATTTTTTCTTCTGGAGAAAGTCTTATTTGTTTTATTTTGGCTAGAATGAAAGCAAATTCAAAAAAATTCAAAAACCATTTAATGGTCAAAGTTATTAGCCCCCTTAAGCTATATTTTTTCGATAGTCTACAGAACAAACCATCATTATCCAATAACATACCTAGTTACTCTAACCTGCCTAGTTATGTATGAGTGTGTGTGTGTGAACACGAGAGTTTGTGGGTGTTTCCCATTATTAGATTGCGGCTTGAAGGGCATCTGCTACGTAAAACATGTGCTGGAATACTTGGCGGTTTATTCCACTGTGGCCACCCCTGATAAACAAGTGATTCAGCTGAAGGAAAATGGATGAATATTTGTAGAGTTTGGGTCATTAAACTCCATTAATTAATTTAATCTAAATATTTTTGTATGCATTGAGTGGGAATTTGTGGTAAACAACCTGTGCTCATGTTTATATATTCATTCATTTAATGTCTGTATTAAGACAACATTAATTTAATTTTGTTTACTTTTTTGTTTACCTTCCATTGCTTCTGTCCTGCAGGAATCAGCAATTGTGTGGAAAGGAATAGGAGCTCGTGTCAGTGGTGCCAACAGTCCTGGACCTCCTCCCATTGAAGAAGAAACATCCTATGGCGAGTGAATGATGGATCAACCATGTGAAAGCCTTCACATTGATGCTTGCACCTTGCGTGTGCTCATGTTCCTGTCTGAGGACATGGGCAGTGAAGACAGCATCCTGACAGTTTGGGAGTAAAAACATGCTAGGAATGAAAACACACATGGAGAAGGATGCAGATACAGCAGACAGCACCATGTTTTTCACATCTCACTTTTCTTGTATTGTGCTCATTCTCAGAAATGCTGTCAGCGAAGAGAACGGATTTGGTGTTATTTAGGGAGTTTTCCATTTTAAGTTATCAGAGAGATGACAAACCACTAGGGATGTAACGATTCACCTGACTCACGATTTGATACGATTCACGATACTTATCTCACAATTCACGATTTAGTCATGATTTTTTTACAAAATTATTTAAAAGAAATTTAAAGTGAAGAGCCCTTTCATTTTTTTCATAAAACATAAAACATAAATGAACAAATAAATAAATAGATAATACAAACGAAAGAAGACAATTTAATATACATAGACTAAAACTGTGACTATGCCTTTAAAAAGTCTGTGTTTTTAAAAAGGAATATCAGCATATCTCTGTTTTCTGGCATAAGCTGAGGTCTTTGCACATTTACAATGTACCCTGCTGATAAAAAAAAAAACTCTTTCACTGGGGACTGACATATGGCAGGTGTGGAGAGGAAAGCCTTTCCTAAATCAGAGAGCTGTGTGTACAGAGGAGGTCAGTAGGCCCTCTGCTCCAGGAGACTGACCACTGGCATGAAAAACAGATTATAAAATTACTAATTATACAGTAGAATAGAGACAGGAGTTGAACATGATTATGGAGGGGAATAATTAATATTACTTCTATAATTAATAAGTATAAGTCTCAGTGTGATACACTTGATAAGAGATAATCTCAAACATTTTTAAATATTCAATAATAATAAGATGATTATTAAAATATGCATAAACTAATTTGAAAAGGAGAGGGTAAAATAATCTAAAACCTGTCTCTGCAACAGAACTTTCTCTTTCAGTCTGAAAAACATCTTCACGCTTTCATATGAAAACACTGACCGCATGATCTCCGTAGCACTCGTCAGAGAAAGCGGAGCTGCAAATCATCTGGTCCGCGTGGTTTGGCTTATTAATAGTTTTTTTTTTTTTGCGTATAGACGTCTGTGACAGTTGTTTTCAATGTGCTGACCGTTTACATGCATCATATTCGTTGTTCTGTTCAGTGTAAGTAAACGTCTTTTTGCAGTATTGCACACAGTTTGTGTTTAGTCTGGCGGACTTCACTGCTGTCATTTACTCTGCTGCTCCACCTCTTGCTCACCGCTGATGTGCAGAGGTGAAGCTAGTTTGCGCCTGTAAACTCAGCACCACCTCTGTTCAAAAAATCTATCACGATTCATTTAACATTTCTACTAATTTGAATCACCACATATTTGAATCGATTTTCAACTGACTGTGAATCGTTACATCCCTACAAACCACTAAAGAATATTGCCAAGGCTGAAATCACAGCAATCCTAACTATACAGATATGTTGCAAATGTTCTCATATGCTAAATTGCATTTAAAATTTAACTTAAACTTAAAATTGAACTTACAGTATTGGGTAAAAAAGTAATCCATTACAATCTTAATCTTTAAAAAAAAAAAAAAAAGGTAAAATGTCATGGCATACTTTTACGTTACTTTCCTTAAAAAGTAACTCAGAAACACACTTTTATACCATTTTAAAGTTACTTAATTTTGTAATATTTTACTTTAAGAAATTTAACTTTTCTCAGCACTTCTTACATATGAAGGTAGATGCTTTTTTTTCTTTTTTTATACGAAAGATTTGAATCCTGTTATCAATCCAATGAAAATCTTGGAGATTTCTGTCCTTGCATTAAAAATCTGTTGCCCAAACACTTGACATTTAAACACATTATAAAATATTTCAATATCAATAAATCCATATGAATCAAGCTGTTTATAATTGGTCACTTTATATAATGATTTTGTTCACATATAAAAATTGATCAGTCAACATCAACAGGCCTGCTTGATACACAAGAACGAATCTCATTACTGCTTGCAGAAGCTCAAAAGAAGCTTAAAAGACCTCACTGGTTCTCAAATATGCTTGAGTTTGACTGCTGTAAACATCTGATCAGAGTTGTTCTGAGAATAAAAGTCTAAATAAATCTGTGCATCACATATAGTAATAATGTCTCCACAAGTATCTTGGATTTAACTGCTTGATCTGAATTTGGATTAATACTTTTGTTTTTAAATTCTTTATGTTTTTTTGGCTGAATAAGTTTTCAATGTTGGGACAGAAATCTCTTAGGTTAGAGTAAAAGCATTTTAATTTTTAAACAACTTGAGGGTGAGTAAATGATGACAGTCTTTTTATTTTTATATTAACTCTAAAGTGTTTCTTTTGTCTTGTTTTACATGACATACGCAATACAATTACAATAGATTAGGTTTCAGGTTTTGTTTATTTTTACATTCAAATTAAATAGTTATAATAGCTCAATTAAAATTTGCATTTCAGTTTAAAAACTCAGTTAGGTCAAGGGTTGACTCAGTGGTTTTTTCTCATGTTGTTGAGTGTATTTTGTCAGCGTATTGTTTTGCTGAGTCTAATGCTTCAGCTTTTTGCGTTGTCAAATGAACTTATTCCTTGCACTGACAAAGGAGGGGGATATTTTGTTTTTTACCATAGCACTAAGATCCATGTGGTTTTGTTTGATAAAACACTATAGTTCTCAGTGAGAACGTGACTGTGCTGGATGAACTTGTTCTTGTTCATCTATTTCACCACCATATTGGTGTTCGGACTTTGACTGCTTGAATAAAAGTCCAATTCTACCCCAAACCCTGCTCTACTTGACCCTTGAGGGTCCGGTCATTTGCCCAGCAGTAGTGCACTGATCCAGTGGCCTGTGATAAAAAAGCATCGGTTTGTGTAATTGAGATATAAGAGATACCAAATGGATTTCACACTGACTCATTGTGGCCTTCACCAGAGTTGGAATTTAGGTAATAAGAATGTAAACACAGCGCGCGCGTGTATGTGTGTGTGTGTGTGTGGTTATGTGTGTATAACTGTGAATGACTGAGAAGGACCAAGAGAGTTGTTGTTTAAAAAGTCAAAGCGCTCCATACTTGTTCCTGTATAAGTTAGAACTATAGCAATTGCTGTTAAATAGGTAACAATGATATGCCTTAAAAGCTATATGTGTGAGTGTTATTTTCTTAAGTGTGTATAAACATCTTAATTTACACAAAAGTATTTGCATAGATTGCAATATGAAGTAAAGTACAGTAGTCACTTTCGGTGTCTGTTAGACCAGGTGATGGCATGTACACTGTAAAGTAAAGAGATGAATCCGTTGTTGTGAATGGGCTAATAGCAATGGAAAATACGTCAGATTAAATGATTTTAAATCAATGCAAAAGACTGATCATTGCTTTGCTTGAATGATAATCACTTCTTATTAAATATTTCACAAAGAAATTGACATATTTGCTCAATATTTTTTATTCATTCATTCATTTTCTTTTCGGCTTAGTCCCTCCATTAATCTGGGGTCGCCACAGCAGAATGAACCACCAACTTATCTAGCACATTTTTGAACAGTGGATGTCCTTCCAGCCGAAACCCATCATTGAGAAACATCTATTCACACTCATACACTACGGACAATTTAGCTTACCTAATTCACCTGTACCACATGTCTTTGGACTTGTGTGGAAAAACCGAAGCACCCGGAGGAAACCCACGTGAATGCAGGTAGAACATGCAAACTCCACGCAGAAATGCCAACTGACCCAGCCGAGGCTCGAACCAGATACCTTCTTGCTGTGAGGCGACAGCACTACCTACTGCATCACCCTGTCGTCGCCTGCTCAATATTATGTTGTAAATCTTTCCTGTGTAGGGCAGGCCCTATATGCAGTGAATGGGAACTTGTCAAAAACCATAGATTGGATATTGGGCCCTGAGCATGCGTCAACGCCACCACCATATTTGTCCAGTGCTCCAAGGACAAAAGTCATTCAACCACAGTTAGTCAAGACCAAAGCCAGTCTGAAGATGCTGGACTTTTTCGCAATGTAGGATGTAGTAATGAGAAAACAAAGCATAAACATATAACATTTTATAAGTTATTTAGCAGTTTTTATGTTTTATACTTTTGTGCTTATTGATGATAATACAGTAACACTTACTGCATTGTAATAATACTTACTGACCATACGTAGTACTAACTTGCACTAAATACTAGGCCTATTCGGTTGAATAAAATCTGCAAAAATGTAAATGAAATATGACAACAAGATGCTGCGTTGCTAGAAACTTGTATTATTGTTAGCTAAGTGAATGTTATAAGTAAGTTATAAGGGTGCCCAATAACATAACAAAGTGACTACACCTCAATGTGCATACTTTCCTCTCTAAATTATTGAAAAATAAAAATGTCAAGAACATTTTAGATCAGATGGAAATGCACATTAGACGCTGGGATATCGATGGTTCACACGAATTGATTATTACAGAAATTCACTCACGAATGAATTGATCTCTCTGTTAAAATTAGAAGTGAAAGGTGGTGTGTTTCTGGACATGTATTAGATGTAAGTAAACAGGAAGGAAGAATAATACATTTGCATTCACACAAACACACACACTTTGTAGGCTATGCCTGTGCGATTGACTCACTTATTCGCCGATGTAAAAAAAAACTGATGTGTTATTTAAAGTGATGTAAAAAATAACAATTAAAAATTGCATACTGACCACCGGGAAAGCTCCACATGATATATATTTGTACATCTATATCAATGGCTCCAGATGGTCAGTCCAGCACTGTATCTCCGCACACATTTATTTCAAAGCAGTGCTACCCTGTGCCAAAATGGCAGCTCTGTTAAAGCATTCCTTTCAACAGACAACAATAGCATAGGCGACATCTTTATCTAATGTATATATCTTTGGTCAAAATCAATGTAAAATAGTCTGTTGTACACTGTTCACACAACCAAAATAGATTTTTTTTTCAGTGAGTCCTGATCAGCTATATTAATTTACCTTAGTTTGCAAGAGGGATGACTATAACTACAGTCTTCAGTCCAATTACGCTTCAAAAGAACTCAACACAGGTAGCATGTAATAAAGGAATATATCTTTATGTTATTTAATCATCCATTTGTAAAAACAAACAAAACATTTTTTAAAGTTTTTATTTGCCAAATTTATTTTGCCAAAATTCCATGAACCTGTAATAACATCTGACCACAGAACACTTTTTTAAAGATCACTTCCAAATATTCATGCTCAACTACTGATCCCCAACTACTTTAATGCGCTATTTGTGTAATTTAAGGCTTTTAGTTACACAGAGAGAGGTGAGATATGCAAATTATCAGTTTCTGTTTTCAACAGTTACCGTTTATTATTTTTGTGGAAAGTTTCTTAATTGATAAAGTCCTACTCGTGTCTTTTCTACTAGACCGGCTTGATATTATGGCGACCCTTAGCGTTAGATGTTGGGTCACCTAGTTCTAAATCTGCTCTGTAGTAATAAACCCAACCGCAAACTGAAATAGTTTGTTTCTCGGTCTTTGCCTTGTCAAATAGGAACTTGTTTGTCTTTGTGGGTCGCAGTGTCGCAAGAGCGGATTTGTTAAAAAAAAACTGATAGTGTAAAGTGCGTGAGAAGAGGAAAGGGTTGCAGTTTTCTGGCTCTCATAAACAAACGAGCTCCGGATCGAAATCTTGTCTTGAGGCAGCTGTCTAAATCAAGACATCTGTTTTGAGTAGGTACAGTGTTGGTTTAGCCAACCTGTTTCACCTTAGTTTTGTGATGTGATGAAAATGTAAATTAATACTGATCATGTTAACATTATGACACGTTATACCCATATTGTGTATTTTGGAGGCTAATTATATTGTTTGGAAGTGGATTTATAATGTGGACCCGATCTACACGCATGTTTCTCCTCGCTGTGTTTGCTGCGGTTAAAGTTCAGTCTGCCCGAGCTGAAGCTGAACTGTGTCCTCGACAAGGTAATTTACCTTTTCATTTTAAAACACATATGAAAATTATTGTTGAGTTTGTGTAAATAATCCCTTAGTTACATGCATTATATTACACACGTTCTGGTTAAGATTTACAGAGTGATTCATCTCTGATTCACTGTAATGGTTATTGCGTGTTTGTGGTTAAGTGAAGATGCTGATATAAATAAATGCCTCAGAATTTCAATATAAAAAAATTTAGTTTATTCACAATTGAACTGTTTTTGTGAGCTATGAGAAACAGATAAATAAATCCATTAAGCCCACCTGAGTACAGAAAAAAGGGAATAATAATAATAAATTATAAAAAATTACTGTTATTAAATATTTTATTAGCACATTCAAAACTGACCTGGAAACATTTTACCCTGGCATAAACATTTATTGTTCCACCTGTCTTAAAATGTTAAAAACAGTTATAAAAATATAGGAATTAGTCCTATCACCTTTTAATTTTTTATAAATTTTTTGTAAATAATCTGAACAAAGTAAATCAAATGCAAACGATTCCAAACGAAGGCAGAATTATTAGCCCCCTGAATATTAGTTCCGTTTATTTTTTTCCCCAATTTCTGTTTAACGGAGATAAGATGTTTTTAACACATTTCTAAACACAATAGTTTTAATAACTCATTTCTAATAACTGTTTTATTTTATCTTTGCCATGATTACAGTAAATAATTTTTTACTAGATTTTTTTAAGACACTTCTATACAGCTTAAAGTGACATTTAAAGGCTTAACTAGGTTACTTAGATTAACTAGGCAGGTTAAGGTAATTAGGCAAGTTATAATGATGGTTTGTTCTGTAGAAGACTATCGAAAAAAAATTTAACTTAAAGAGGCTAATAATTTTGTCCTTAAAATGGTTAAAAAATTTTAAAGCTTATTCTTGCTGGAATAAAACAAATAAGACTTTCTCCAGAAGAAAAATTTTTATCAGACATACTGTGAAAATTTCCTTGCTCTGTTAAACATCATTTAGGAAATCTAAAAAAATAATAATAATTTAAAGGGGGGCTAATAATTCTGACTTCAACTGTATATACATTACAGTACATATATATATATATATATATTAACATTAATTTTAGAAAAATAGCATTTTATTTTGTATTAAAAGTAGTCTGGAAATAAAGTTGGAGATGAGATGCTTAGAAAAAGAATTCACTTTAAAGATGTTACATCTTATTGTGCATACATTACAATATATATATTTTAATTATGCAAAAACTCCGAAAACATAAACTTGATTTATGTATGTCTGTAGTTTAACAATTTCAATAAAAGTATTTATAGTTAAAGTAATTCTGTTATACATTACATAATGGTGATCATAGAAATGAACATTACAAGGAGGATTTTGATGGTAATATTATAGATAGTTTTAGTAACGATATTACAGCAATATGCTTAAGCAAGACATGATTGTTTTTAAAATATAATTAATATGGATTGAAATAGATTTACCATTTATCATCTTACTAAATTTACATTCATGTCATGCACTGGTGGAATATTACTTAAAATGACAAAAAGAAAGAGTGATTGTGGTGAAGAATCTGGAGGATTTACAATAAAGGAAGTGAAAGCAAGAGTATCTATTTGTTGCATAATTTTGTTCCATTTTTAACCAACACAGTGATCTTTGGGTAAAATGAACAGTATTTAGTCCCCGATGATGGACTGTTATTTACTCTGATTATAGAAGCCAGTACATTAGACATCCTGTATGGGATTATTAATGTGATTAATGATCTAAGCACAGTATTTTCTTCATCAAATTTTCATCAGATCCTCCTTCTGGAGTTTTGGTCTTGAATTTGGGAAGTAATGTTGTCCTTGGCTGCAGAGGTGACGTTACAGTGGACAATGTGTCGTTGGCTTCAGCCAGAGTCATGAATAAAAAATACACACACAAGCAGAAAGAAGACATCACTGCCAGCTGGACATCCCAGAGACACAAACATCCTTCTACACAATTAGCTAATATAAAGGGAGATGTGCCAACTACAACATACCAAAATATGATGTCTGCTATATACTCTAAAACTGAAGTGGGCACAACTGTCACCGTTAAACCATCTATAACCACCAGAAAGGAGCAGAACACTTCTCAACGTGTTTTGCGTGCTGTCAGTCAAACACCTGGAGAGGAAGAAGAGACGTTTGGTATCACACAGTGGAGCGATTTTGATGAAGATGATTATGAGGACTATGATTATGAAGAGGAGCGATCCAGGGTGACACGGGGAATCAAAAAACAAACACGCTGGACTTTAAATGGAAGACAGGTGCATGCCGGAGTGGAAAGAGGAGGAATTTTGAGACGGCCACATCTCAGCTGGGCAGATGCTGGAAATTACAGTTGCTACAGAGGAGAGAGACTCATTTCCACATTCAGAATCAGTGTAGGGGGTAAGGACTTTTGCACACAACATTTTGGCAGTTAATTTGCAAATATAATACACTGAAGATTTTCACATTATTGGGATATTTTCACAGCACCCCCCGAGCGTTCAGCTGTCTTATGCAACATGAAGTCTCATACTAGTAAGGTCCGCTGTGAATGGACGTCCAAACAACCGGTAATTCCACGGCCAGTGTGTTACCTTCTTCTTAATAGAAGGTGAGTGTGTTTAGTGAATAGTGAGTTAGTGTTAGTGAATATCTTTTTATACTGTATCTTGCAGTTCAGACTTTTTTGTCAGAATATTGATATTCTGATTGAGATTCTGATAAAGTGTATTGTTTGTGGCAATTTCAAGTTTATATTACACAATTCAGACTTTTTAAAAAAATCTGATATGAGCTTTCAAGAGCATTTTGAAAATTTTAAAGTGTAACCAATGCTTTAATAGGGGATAGTTCTCCCAAAACATGAAAATCATTTTCAAATCAAAATCATCATGACATCATTTATTTTGTTATGTTTATTTTATTTTGTTAAAATCTTCCATAGTTTTAGTTTTTTCTATTATGAATGTAAATATTTCAATAAATAAACAAGTGACTAAAAGAAATAAAGAGAAAATTGACAGTATGTCCATATATTTAAAGTACAGAAAAATACATTCACTGGCCACTTTATTATGTCCAACTGCTCGTTAATACAAAATTCTAATCAGCCAATCACATGGCAGCAACTCAATGCATTAAGGCATGTAGACATGGTCAATATGATCTGCTGCAGTTCAAACCAAGCATCAGAATGGGGAAGAAAGGTGAATTAAGTGACTTTGAATGCGGCATGATTGTTGGTGTCAGGTGAGTTGAACTGAGTATTTCTGAAGCTGCTGATCCACTCGAACTTTTACTCAGAATCTAGGGTTTACAGAGAATGATCCAAAACAGAGGAAATATCCAGGGAGGGGCAGTTTTGTGGGCGTAAATGTTTGTCAGAGGAGAATGGCCAAACTGGTTCGAGAACATAGAAAGGCAACAGTAACACAAATAAGCACTCGTCACAACTGAGGTATGCAAAAGAGTATCTATGAATGCACAACTCATTGAACCTTGAGGCAGATGAACTACAGCAGCAGAGGACCACTCTTGTCAGCTAAGAACAGGAAACTGAGGCTACAATTGGCACAGGCTCACCAAAATTGGACAATAGAAGATTGGAGAAACGATGCCTGGTGTGATGAGTCTCGATTTCTGCTGCCACATTCAGATGGTAGAGTCGGAATTTATCCTCAACAATATGCAAGCATAGATCCAACAGTCCAGGCTGGTGTTGGTGGTGTAATTGTGTGGTGGATATTTTCTTTGAGCCCATTAGAGCCAGTTGAGCATTGTGTCAATGCCACAGCCTACCTGAGTATTGTTGCTGACCATGTTAGTCACTTTATGACCACAGTGATGGCTACTTCCAGCAGGATAACGCACCATGTCATAAAGCCTTAATCATTTCAGACTGGTTTTTTTAAACATGGCAATGAGTTCACTGTACTCAAATGGCCTCCAAGGTCACCAGATCTCAATCCAATAGAGCACCTTTGGGATTTAGTGGAATGGGAGATTTGCATTATGGATGTGCTGCCGACAAATCTGCTGCAACTCCATGATGCTATCATGTCAATATAAACTAAAATCTCTGAGGAATATTCCCAGCACCTTGTTGAATCTACACTACGAAGTATTAAGGCTGTTCAAATTGGGTCCAACCCAGTAGTAGTAAGGTATACCTAATAAAGTGACCGGTGAGTGTGTGTGTGCTTGTGTATATAACATACTGTTCTTGTCCATGTACCATATAAAACGACACAAAAATAGATATAGATTTTTAGTTTTTTTTTTTTTTTTTACGTTACTTGTCTCTTTTTTAACATCTTTTTCTGTCCCTTCGCAGATTTTTAAAAAACACCATTCATGTGAACTGTTCTTTCTCCCGGTCCCGCTGTTGGTGTGCTTTCTTTGTGAAGGAGGAGTACCTTAGGGATCTCCATAGGGCACAAATATGTGTGTCTAACATAGCAGGCAGTGCAATGAGCCCTGTACTCAACTTTAACCCACATGACACCCGTGAGTACTTATGTCTTTCTTTCACTTACACTTTAAGAAGTCCACCACTGATTTGATAAAAAAAAAATAACAATCTCTTAATTTCTCTTTGTAGTAAGGCCAGACCCACCAAGCAGAGTTCTGGTGAGTGCAGTTGAGGGCCTGAAGCATGTGCTTAAAGTATCCTGGTCTTATCCCAGTTCCTGGAAGAATAGATTTTATGTCCTGCAGTTCCATCTGAGATACCGACCACAATTTGCAGAGCAGGTAAAGTAAAATAGGAGGCTACATCATTAATTTAAACGTAATTGCACAATGACTTAGACCTAATCTCAATTCAATACAATGCAGTAATGTCTGTATGCATTTTAGTACCAGTTTGGGGAGATATCTGACAAGATGGAGAGACGACTGTCATGGATGATTTATGATGCTCTACCAGACACTGTATATGAAGTGCAGCTTAAGGCCAAAGATGAGTTTGATGGTAGCTGGAGTGACTGGACAGAACCTGTCTTTGCAGTCACATGGTCAGGTAACAAAATGCCTGTCTGTCTGTCTGTCTGTCTGTCTGTCTGTCTGTCTGTCTGTCTGTCTGTCTGTCTGTCTGTCTCTAGAGTCATCAACCACTTTAATTGGAACACATTGCTAGTACTGGATTAGACCCCTTTTGTCTTCAGAACTATCTTTATTTTTCATGGCACACATTTAACAATGTGCTGGAAACATTTCTCAAAAATGGATGTGATCCATTTTGACTTGATATCATCAAACTGTTGTATGATGGATAACTGTTCCAGCACACCTCAGAAGTGCTCTGTTGGATAAAGGTTTTGGTGGTTGACGCTTTTTAAGCTTCATGAACTCACTTTCAGGTTTAAGAATTCAATTTGAGAGGATTTAGGTATTGTGACATTGCATGTTATCTGGCCATAACAAGATGGGTTTACTGTGGTCATGTGGCTGGACAGGGTCATATTACCATCACAAGTATCCAGAGTTAATGAAATCTTTTCCTCAATTTTTATGCCAAATTCTGTCTCTACCAAAAAACATGGATGCATTATTTAGGAACTTTCACTGTGGATGTAGCAAGTAATGAAATTGCTGCAAATGTCTGTTTACATGGTGGATCATTTTGTCCAACAGATGTTTGTCCCACAAATTGTTATGTACAAGCCCAAATCACAGACAGTAGGAAAACGCAAATAAAAAAAGAAAGTAATAATTTCCAAATTTACTTTGACTTGTATTACATTACAGAAGATATATAAACACAAAATATTTAATGTTTTGTCTGACCAACTTCATTTTATTTGTAAATATTCATCCTTTCCTGTCATTTAGACCTGCAAAACATTCCAAAAGCAGTTGGGACAGGAGCAGTTTAGGGTTAGTATTTAGGTGATAGTAATTATGATTGACTACAAAAGCTGCCAGCATCCAAGAAAGATCTAGTCCTTTAGGAGCAAAGATGAGCCAAAGATCACTAATTTGCCAAGAAATACACAAGAAAATTATAGAAATGTTTAAAAACAATGTTGTTCAAAGATAGGAAGACATTTAGATATTTTGCCTTCAATGGTGCATAACATAATTAAAAGAGTCAAGGATCTGGAGAATTTAGCGCTTAAAGAACAAGGACGCAAGCCTAATCTGAACAACGTTGATCTCTGATCCCTTAGGAGACACTAGGTCAAGGTTCGTCAATCATCTATAAGCAATATTACCACATGGGCTCAGGACTACTTTGTCAAGTACCACAATATATAGTTACATCCACAAATGCCAGTTAAAACTGTGCTGTGCCAAAAGGAAGTGCAGTCGACTTCTCTGGGCTTGGAGGTATCTGGTATGGACTATTACACAGTGTAAAAGTGTACTGTTGTCAGATGAATCAGTATTTTATGGACTTTTGGAAGAAATGGATGTTGTGTGCTCCAGACCAAAGAAGGAAGGATAATCAAGACTGATACCAGAAACAAGTCCAAAAGTCAGGGCCTGTCATGGTATGGGGTTGTGTCAGTGCCCTTGGCAAAGGTAACTTGCAGTTCTGTGATGGCCCCATTAATGATGAAAAGTAGATAAAGATTTTATAGCACAATATGTTATTTTTCATCAATGCAAAACCACATTCTGCACACATTACAAATGCAGAGGAAGAGGATACAGGTACTTGACTGGCATCCCTGCAGTCCCGAACTAACTTCAATAAGCAATGTGTGGCACATTTTAAAACGCAAAATGCAACTGTGGAGAGGTAAGGGTGATCGAACACCCAATAAGGGGGGAGAGCATGCTCGGAGGCCAGCGGCTAATCAGCAGATTCCCTTCTTAAGGAGAACGGGAGGAGCAGTCGGTAGAGGAGAGAGCACACACACACACACACATACACAGCCTGCGAGTGTTGTGCGTTGAAAAATAAATATATATTGCTTACCTGAAATCGCCAACCCTTTCTTCTTCTTCCCACACAACAACAAACTTTACCACAGCAACATTGTAGACTCTATACAGTTGCCCACCTTAAGACTTGTTTGCAGGTAGAAAGGGACAAAATTACACCTGAAACATTTGACCACTTGGTGTCTTCACTCCCTAAATGTCTTTTAAGTGTTGTGAAAAAGATTTTATTGTGAAAAGTGTTAAATGCTTTACTCTTTTTAAAATGTCTTGCATGACACATTTTGAAAATGTGTTTATTTTGAAAAAAAAAAAAAACTATAAATCATGAGGAACACATTAAATTATGTTTGTTGTATTGTCTGCAACGAAATACAAGTCAAAGTAAATATAGAAATATTGGAATCATTTCTTTCTTTTTTATTTGCAAAATTTGAGTTACCAACCAGCCACAAAGAGACGGTTCGCTTAAAAAAAAAAAACATAATAGTTTAGTTAAGTGGGCTGTGTGTAGGAAACAAGTTGGGATCCACTAGACAAATGTAAAAATGCAAAGATCAGTGATACAGAAATGATGAGCAAGAAAATGATTTAAAGATGTGTCAAAAAGTAAATATGTGAATTGTCACTCACGGTCTATAATAGAGGTAATGACAAGAAAGGGGCCCTAAAATACAATTTTTTTTTTTTTTCTAGAGTACAATAGCACATTGGTTCTTTAATCGTGTGTTGTTGTTTTTCTGGAGTCACGTAAAATGAGCTATCATAACCCAGAATGCAGGCTTTAGTATCTGAGTCAATATAATTTTTTGATATTTCATAGTTTATTGCTATTACCCCAACAAACACTTCTCAAATTAGACAACCTCAGAGCATGTGAAGAAAAGTAGACATTTTACATCTTTGACAAATGGCGGAGATCGTGATCACCATGCACCATGCAGTTGTTTCAGTCCATAAGGGGTTGTATTATATTCTGTGTAAGCTGATGTGTATATTCTGTGAAAGTATATTTATCATTTGGTCTTATTGTAATTAGCTTTTTTGTCAATCCTACACAGTTTTGCTGCAGTGGAAGCATGTAAGGCTTGATACTTACGCGGCTATTCTGAACCAATATTCAAGAACAGAAAGCAGTTGAAGGATGGCGTGTTTAAGTCAATTATTTATCTGACTCCATTGAAATTAATCTGACTCCATTAAAGTTGTTATCATCATTGATAAGGAGAAAGAATCTCAACGCCTTAAAGCAGGCAAAGTTGTTCATTAAGTTACATGTTTAAATATACAGACAGTAGAATGAAACAAACTAACATATTGTATAAAGAAATTAGCTGTAACATATGCACTGCTGAGCAACAAATACCTTTGTTTGGATATGAGGCTATGCACCGGTGTGCGGGAGATGCAGAGTAAAAGCCATTCTCCCTGATCAACAGTTACCTTTCTTTATTATACCCTGAGCAAAGTAATGTCAAACATGAGTGAAAGCCAACCCCTGAAACTATCTAAACATGAGAGCAAGTTTGAGGAGATAAAGTGGGGGAGAAGTACATTAACATACTCTCCTCAGGCCATGACTCAACAATAGCAAATATATTGTATATTGAAATACAATCAATCAATGTCTCTGTTGATTTCATCACTACAACGCTTAAGTCATAAACTGTCAAATGACACTAAACATGACAATGTTATATGAAGGAAGATCACAAGCAGATTAACTGTGTATAGTGAAAAGCACATGGTAAGCAAATGGCAGAGATGTGTATTTGAGCTATGAGAACTTTGCCACGCCAGGAGGACTCATCCCATGCTTGGAATGTCTCAATAGTCCTTCATTAGCATAGAAGGAATAGCATATAACATTTTAACATTTTGTAGCAACTAATGGTACCATTTATTTTTCCTGTTTCTTTGTAGCTCCTGAGACAACTACTGCCACTGAGACCATTACTTTTGTGAGTTCATTCAACAGTATCATGCACTGTAATGCACTTATTACACACACATTCACATGCCTTCATTTACATATATCATAGATATATACATTAGATGTCGCCTGGCCTATTGTCTATCGGACGGAATGCGTCAATAGCGCCGCCATCTTGCTACAGGGTAGCGCTCCTTTGAAATGAATGCGGGACCAAAGTACAGTGGAGGACTGTGGCCATCCAAAGCCAGAGATATACACATATACACATATATCTATGATCGGGAGTTTTCCTGGATGTTATTATGTAATTTTTTTTTTTTCTAATTACGAAAATTATAATTTTACATCACTTTTCTACATTAATGGATGAGTGACCACACAGGCATTTCTGACAAAAAGCTTGTGTTTGTGTGTACAGAAATTTACCATTCATCCTTCATGTTATATTTAATCTAATCCGTGTCCTGAAACACAGCTCCTCTCCTGCTTTCACTTTTCATACTGACAGAGGGAGCGATCGTTTGTGAATGAATCCCCAAAGGACTCTTTCACTAGCCGACAATAATACAAGTTTCTGGCAGCGCAGCATCTCGTTGTCATATTTCTTTTGCATTGTTTGCTGATTTTATTCAACAAAAGTAGCATAAGCCGTGTGTTTAGTGCGAGTTGGAGCTGCTTTGCCGTATGGTGAATGCAGTAAGTGACTGTTATCAATAATAAAGTTACCTGATTAGCACAAAAGGTCAGAACATACAAAAACAGAAAAAAACTTAATATTACCTATGAAATGTTCCGCCTTTGTACTTTGTTTTCTTTGTTTGCTCGTTACTACACCTGTATACAGCACTAAAGTCCTGCATCTTCACGTAATAACACTGTCTTGTCTAGTGCAGTTGAATGACATTTGTCCTGGGAGCACTGTACCAATGTGGCGGCGCTATTGACGCATGCTCAGGGTCCCTATGCGATATCTAGTGTATATATCTATGTACATATATGATTATCTTTTCTGTCATTGCCACTCAGGAACCAAATGAGGTGCTTTATGAAGGCTCAGGAGGATTTGGAGAAGAGCCTGGTGTAGGTGAGCTTGAGAAAACAAACAAGCATTCCATGTCTCATTGTTCTTCTTCAGGTAGTGTTACTCACTTATCTGCTTATTATATAAGGAAACCAGACAGGAAGTTAATGTGGTACCTGGAAATTCCATACAGGAAGTGGTCAACATAACAAAGACTTAAACAATGTGCAGTAATTTCCAAGTGTTTCAGCCTTCTGTGACATTTGACCTCTGTCCTCATTCTCTCTTTCTCATTTCAGACTCAGTGGTAGTAGCTGGAGATGCTGATACCGAATATGCTACAGTCTGGCTGTATGTGTCTTGTGCTTTTGGGCTGTGTTTTTTTGTAATCACCGTGCTTACTGTCTATTTTCTCAGGTAAAACTATTTTTATGTACTGTATTTGCCATATTTTAATATCCATTTAGCCTTTTTTAAGTGATGTTAAGAAATGTTCCAAAAATATTTTAGCTATTTTTCCTTCCAAATATGAAGGGCTGGCTGCTTTTCATTTATTTTGACATTTGTAATGAGAGGAAAACTGAAATAATTATTTTCATCCCGTTTGATCTCACAACCTCCCCAAATTTGGACTCGTTTGAGATGAAACCATGGGTTGAAATATTTGGTTTATTTTAGATGTTGTCAGAACCTGCTTTTTCCCTTTCTTTTAAAGCCTTTGAAAAGGTTATACATGTTTTTATCTCATCTAGGTTGGATTATTGCAATACACTTTATGGGACTAGATAGACAGCTTTTTCCAGTCTCCTGACTGGGACAAAAAAGAGAGAGAGCATTTTACTCCAATTCTACACAAGCTGCCCGTTTGTTTTAGAGTTGTTTGTACTTAAGAAAAACTACTCCTGTTAATTTCAGTAAGCTACTGTCTTTGGTTCAGCCTGCTAGTTAGCTTCGGTCTTCCAATCAAGATATGCTGTGAATCTCCAGGTAAAAAGTTTGTGAAATGTACCCACTAAACACAACTATGTTCAAATAAAGTCTTTTAGATGTTTCTTTTGGACAATTAGACATTGAAATACATCCCCTAAGGGTGCAGAGTGAAAGTTTTTATGACTTCCTTTTTGGACTTATAGGTTGGGTAGACACAGTCTTAGATGAAATCAACTAATAAAACATTATGGGCCCTATCATACACCCGGCTCAATGTGGAGCAAGGCGTGACGCAAATGTTGTTTGCCAGTTTCAGCTTAACGCAAGTATAGTTTTGACATGTTGCACCACGCTGTTTAAATAGCAAATGCATTTGCGCTCATATATGCACCCATAGGCGTTCTGGTCTAAAAAAGGTGTGCTAAGGCACATTGTTAGTGTGTTGCTATTTTGAGGATCTAAAAAAGACCAGCTAAAAGGAGGTCTAAAGTCCAGTGCAGAGCGTGTTAGTTGTGCGCCTCGTTCAAACATTGCTTTATACACACAGGATGTACAGCAGTACACAAATATCTTTACAAATAAAATAATTAAAGGTATAAAATATTACAAAAAAATCATTATTTTCTACATAAAAACCACTGCCTTCATGCCTTCTTCATCTCGGGGGACTTTTTCATGACAACTTACTTTTGTTTAATGTTATTATTATTAGTAGTATTTATTATATGCACATTTATATTTGTTTTATTAAAAACAAGCCTAGATTTGTCCAGGTTTCGGACCATATGGGACATAGCATGTGAAAGAGTGTGAAAGTGAAATTAAGAATAAGGAGGCTCATCTCTCATTCTTGCGCTACAGATGGTAGTTTTTTCACTCACAAAGTCTGTCATGTAAATAGCAAATGCGCTACGGCATGACACAGCTGACTCTTTGATTGGTTTATTCACAAAACACACTTACAACTCATTAAGAGAATAGCTCAACCCTGTTAAGCAGGTCGCACACCAGAAGCGGCGATCGGCGCCACAACACAGCGCGCACATGACAGTTTAAAGTATCACATTCGCATGATATTTAACATTAAACTAATCAGATGGCACTCTGTGACGTGGCTGAAATATGAACAGCATCCTGAGTCCTGACTGGGCGCCGCCGACAGCCGTCGGCTCGCGGCACCGGTGTGTGTACCCTGATAGAAACCTATGTTAAGAATTCTAAAATGCATGGCGCTGCGTGGCGCTACCTGGCGCGTCGCCGATCAACGATTCCGGTGTGCGACCTGCTTTAGTCCATGCGCAGCGGACTTGGACTTTGCACCAAGATTGTTAAAATAGAGCCCAAAATCTCAGCAGAGGATCAATCAACAACTTAACAGCATCAGCACCTTCACTTATTACTAACCTGCTTGACTTTATTACTGTCAGATGTCTTTAAATGTCCCCCATCACATTTATTAAGAATTAAAAGCTTTAGAATGGCTCCTTTACTTGGGCTCCCTGTTTTAAGGATAGCTAAACTATTTGACTGTTTCTATAGCAAGAAAACCTAGAAACAGTTTGTTACTGCTGCTGGGTTATTTAAAAGTTAGTTTTTCTGATTTCATATAGTTAGTGACTTTTAATGTTGTATAACAATGGCACTGTGGTCTTAATTACACTGATAACCCATTTAGAGCCAGCAGTGAATTGGTAAGGTTTCAAAAGCACAGTGAACATTTGAGGCACTAAAAATACACAGACATCAAGTATCAGCAAATGCATTTTAATGATGGTAAAACATTTCCATAAAGTAATAGATAAGTGTTGTATGATTCTACCAGCTTGCACTGCAGCATGAAATATGTCACCATCATTGAGAAATATGCAATGATTCTTGATGTGTCTTTTTTTTTTTAGTTATTCAAGGCATTTTAAAACCTGACCAATGCACTGCTGGCTTTCAATATGTAGAACCACATGATTTCTACTAACAGTTCAGTGAAATCAACACCATGTTGTCCTCATTGTACAAGAATAAAGTCACTCACAAACCAATCAAGGTCAATCAAACTTTTTAACAAAAATGCAACAATCACTTTTGTCCTACAGTATGTTTTTACATAACATTGCTTCAACAAACAAAGAAATGATTTCATGAAACACCCCAAGTAAAGTATCCACACACTCTTCACTGTCGTGGTGACTTCTTTTTAATAAAACATTTACAACTTTAAGATCTTAATAAGTGTGAATAAGAACTTGGGTAGACGTCTGACAGTAATACAGTCAAACTGATAATGATAAGAGAAGCTCCTGATGCTTTCATTCTGCACCCTTCGGGGACGTCATTTCAACGTCTAATTTTTAAAAAAGAAGTCTAAAATACGTAACTTGAACACAATTGTGTTTTGTGGGTAGGGGAGATCATGCTTTCTGTATTGTGGCCCCTAGACTTTGGACTGCCATACCACCATCAATAACACTTGCGCCATTTACCAATATCTACAATTGTGTGTCTTCAAAGGCATTCAGCTCTTAGGAGGAGTGACTGTTATTTAACTTGTTTGTTGTTGTCTGTTTTGTTTACTAGTTGGAAAGTTCATTGGTCAGCGAAAGTTGTTAAATATCGTGCTTTACACATAAAATTGTCATCAAAGTAGCAAATGTACTTTTTGAAAATGAAAACCGCATAAAACATTTCCAAATAAAACATTTACATCCCATGTGTTAAAGAGGCTAAAAATAACCAGCGCTTTCACCTCACAGCAAGAAGGTCGCTGGTTCGAGCCTCAGCTGGGTCGCTTGACATTTCTGTGTGTAGTTTGCATGTTCTCCCCATGTTTGCATTGGTTTCTTTCGGGTGCTCCGGTTTCCCCCACAGTCCAAAGACATGCGCTATAGGTGAATTGGGTAGGCTTAATTGTCTGTCGTGTATAAGTGTAAATGAGGATGTATGGGTGTTTCCAAGTGATGTGTTGCAGCTAAAAGACCATCCGCTGTGTAAAACATGTGCTGAATAAGTTGGCGGTTCATTCCACGGTGGCAAACCCAGATTAGTAAAGGGACTAAGCCGAAAAGAAAATGAATGAATAAAATTCTGCAAGCTAAGAAACCACTTAAGTAAATAAGTTGGACCTCAGAGAAACAAACAAAACACACAGTAACAAACAACTGAGCTTTTGTCCAGGTGTTTGCAAAACTATTAAAACAGCTTTTAAGATTATGTGAGAAGATAATGGTTCACTGGTTGCTCACATCTTCAAAATCACACTAATTGTTTGAGGGCAAATCAAGAAATGCATTCAGTTATTTATTTATTTTCCCTGGCTTAGTCCCTTTATTCATCAGGGTATCCCAAAGCTGAGTGAACCACCAACTTATCCAGCATATGTTTTACACAGCGGATGCCTTTCCAGCTTCAACCTAGTACTGGGAAACATCTATACACACTCATTCACACACATACACTAAGGCCAATTTAGTTTATTCAATTCACCTATAGCAAAACTCTTTGAACTATGGGGGAAACTGGAACACCCGGAGAAAACCCACGCGAACATGGTGAGAATTGAGCCCCCGTGTCGCCTGTATTCAGTTAGTGCATTTTAATCATAGTTTTTTTTTATTTTTTATTATTGGAGTAAAAACTCAATTGAGCACATACTAATATAATATAAATATAATATATGCACATCTTGGTATTTTTGTTGACCATTTTTAAAAATAAAAAACACAACACACACACACATATATAGTGTTTCTCTATTCAAATTTCTTAATTTTTGTTCTGTTTTTGTGTTTCATTAGGAATAGGACTCATTTGATTGCTAAAATAGGGAAACAAACTATGCCGTTTACTTCCCTCCTTCGTTCCTCTCAGCCTCTGTCTGCTCCTGCTGCCTCTGAACAGCTTCCCGAGGAGGGGAAGTCACTTATGTCTCCTCCCAAACACAACCAGCAACACTTCCTTCCTGCTCAGCCAGAGGAGCAGGATGCCATTCATCTGCATAACATCGATTATTTTCTGTCTCCAGGAGCCGAAGGTGTGCCATTGACAATAAACAGAAATGAATAAACAAATGAAACCCCGCAGTGGGTCACACACTGTTTCATGTGATAGAAAAACAGCATTATTATGTTGAAAAATCAACTTGGAGTGTCATATCCTAGGTTGGGTTTTCATGTCAGATTTTTTTCTGACTTTCAAAACCATTTGTAATTACGGATTTTTAAAACAAGCCTTCTATAGAAAACTTTTTACAAATATTTCCTTAGACAACCCACCATTTGTTGACCATGGCAGTCTTCCATGTGAAGCTAAAGCACTTTTTTATTAAATAGTTTTGAATAAATGCCTGTTAACATCAAATATGATAGCTAAGATGACTGGTTTTAAATTATAAGTTAAAGAAATACACAGTTTTTGTTTATCTGATGAATGATATAAACTTTGACAGCCAGTCTTATTCAAGATTACTGTAAAGATCTTGGGCATTTCAAGTCGTAGATGTAAAAACTGCAGTGTGCACTTATAATAGACAGAATATTTTCATGGTTTGGTGAGATGCAAATACTGTTATCGGTATTGTTCTTGATTTAACAGGCTTTTAAGGGATAGTTCACACAAAACTAAGAGAAAATTTCTTCACAGTTTACTCACAAACAAACTAACCGCTATTGGAATCCAGAGTAGGAACAACACAAAATGCAATGGATGTCAATGACTGCTGTTTTCCATAATTCTAGAGTAAAATAAAACTTAAACAGGTTTAATCTCTTTAAGAGTGTCTGCTAAATGTTTGATGTTCGTTTGAATATGATCTTTCATTCAACATTAGTTATTTTGACTTGCTGACTTATGTTGACTGTTATTCTGTTTAAATGTGTGTAATTTGACCTGTAAAAGTGTTTTGGTCTCACAGTCGTTTTTACAGTTTATGAAAATGTATGCATTGTGATTGTAAAATTGTAGTCACTCAGACAAAAAAGCATTTTTTTTTCAAACTAAAATTATGTCACCATTTTTACCATGTTTTATTTTGAGTTTGTACTAATTGAAAATGTGAATTACAAAGGGAAAAGTTACAAGGGGAAAGTTCACCCATTATTATAATTCTGACATTGTTTACTCTCCTTCCTCTTGTTCCAAACCTTGAGTTTTTTTTCTTTCTTTTTTATTCAAAAGAATATACAGTACTTTGAGGAATGTTGAAAACTTGTAGCTATATATGACATACTGTATAGTATATTTTCCTACCGTGGAAGCAAGTGTCAACCTGATACCAATATGGAGGGGGAAGGGTTAGAAATATTTGTTTAAACTGTCCCTTTTTTTAATAATGAATGAGAACTGGGGTTTATACTTTCATGGGTAACACTTTAAACGTTAATTTCTTTATTATTCAGTTTAACATTTACTAATGCATATTAAAATCAAATTTAATTCATTAGTTATTTCACTGAGTTAAAATGAACTAACATTAAACAACTTTATTTTCAATAACTAATGTAAACAAGGAGGGATGCTGTAATGTATTGTTAATGGTTGGTTAATGTTAAATACATTAACACTAATACCACCATATTGTAAAGAGTTGCCCTTTTCCTGATTGAATGTATGTTTTTCTGCTAAATGTGTTAAATCATATTTCAGTTTGTCTGTACATTGCTTTTTAAAATAGATATTGTTCTAAAGCATCTTCATAAATACTAGTGAAAAAAACCTTGAGAAGACAATGGACAGACAAGTCCCTAAGATGGTATGTGGGATGTTTTGTTAGGAAAATAATTGTTTAAAAATACAGTATACTGTAAAAACATGCTCAATTTGATGCTCAAAACTCAATTTGAATATACAGTATATATATATATATATATATATATATATGTGTGTGTGTGTGTGTGTGTGTGTGTGCGTGTGTGCGTGTGTGTGTGTGTGTGCACAAATGTATTCTAATAGCTTGATAATATTCAAATTGATATGATTCCATATAAAGCATGCAGTTCTACATTAAAAAATAAATATAGATATTTATTTATTTATTTGAAATCATATCAATTTGAATATTATCAAGCTATGAGAATACTTTTGTGTGCACATAAAAATAAATAATCACAACTTTATTAAAAAATTAACAAATAGAAGATACACGTGAGTGGTTCCCAACCTTTTTTGCCTGAGACCCCTTTTACCACCAGAAAATATTGTAAGGCCTCCCTCAACATTTAACAACCCTCATATTCAAATCAAGTTTGCAATAAGGATGACAAAAAATTTCATTTTCAAACAAACGAGTATGTTTATTACTACAGTATATCTAGATATGTTTGTGGACAAATAGACTTAGACTTAGACTTAGATTGGACCTATTTTAGTTGCCAATCTTTAAAAAAAAAAGTTTATTTTAAGTATCTGACTCCTCTGATCTCATTTTGTGTGTGTGAGTGCCAATTCTTTTGCCTTGCACTCAAAAAATGCACCGAGCTTGCCGTAAATATTGGGGATGAGTTGTCTGCAAATGTCTTATTAATTTGGATGGCTTCATGCATTCGTTAGCAAGAACTTATAGTAAAAACTACATAAAACTATAGTTCAGGTAGCTATCTTGGTATTTCCTGCATTTCGTGCTTATAGGAATTGCTATTGGAGCTTCCTCACCTGGGTCCAGTATGCTTGGGGCCATTAGTATTAGCTGCTGAAGGTGAATTACAAATTTGTCCATTTTTTTTGGTAAGCCAGGGGATAAAATAAAGGCAACACGATCGTTCTCCTAATTGTCCACTGCTAAATTTTTTTTTAAATATGACGGGGCCCCCACAGAACTTGCTGAGGCCCTCTTGGCCAGGACCCCCCTGTTAAGAACCACTGCACTACATCACACATAAAACTAGGCCTTTAGACAAGCAGGAATCAATTTGGACAGATGAAGCTGAAATCGCATATTTTATACACCAACAACTTAAGATAATGAGAAAACAATAATATGGATGTCACGCTGGATGCACCATGTTGAATGAACTGTGTTGTTCAAAATGCACCCTGCTAAATTATGGACCACAATAAGATCTATATTTTACACACACCATTGGTTCACAAGCCTTAAAAGTCATTGCCGACTGAATGTCAGCTCTATGCTATATCATGGCCAGAATTCTTGGTTCCCTTGTGCTAATTTCCCTTAAAGTAAATATAGCATCTATCTTTAAAAATCTGTGTTTTTTTAAGTACACTGTGAAAATGGCTGTAATAAAAAAAGAATGTAAAAGAATGAAGGTTAAAAACTGTAAATCATAAAACATGACATTTCAGTTACATTAACAGTTAAATAATGTTAATCTAAATACAGGAAAAACTTTATACTTTGTACATTATTGTTTCGCTAAAATGTATACTGTATTACCATCAAAACTCTAAAAACTATGGTAAAGTACAAAGAAAGCATTCTGTTAAAATCATGATTTTCCTTGTTGTTTTAACTGTAAATCACAATGATATGGTCAGCAATATATGTGTATTTATATAGAAATGTGCCATTTTAGGACTGCACTAATCTATCCAATTAATTTAATTGCATGATTATTATTTTTTATGTTATATTTTCATTATTATTATTATTATTATTATTATTCATTCATTTTCTTGTTGGCTTAGTACCTTTATTAATCCAGGGTCGCCACAGTGGAATGAACCGCCAACTTATCCAGCAAGTTTTTACGCAGCGGATGCCCTTCCAGCTGCAATCCATCTCTGGGAAACATCCACACACACATTCACACACACACTCATACACTACGGACATTTTAGCCTACCACATGTCTTTGGATTGTGGGGGAAACCGGACTACCGGAGCACCCGGAGGAAACCCATTCGAGCGCAGGGAGAACATGCAAACTCCACACACTAAGCCGAGGCTCGTACCAGCTACCCAGCGACCTTCTTGCTGTGAGGCGACAGCACTACCTACTGCGGCACTGCTTCGCCTATTATTATTATTATTATTATTATTATTATTATTATTATTATTATTAATATTACATGATTTTCTTGTTATATTCAAGAACTGCTTTAGATTTAGACAGGCCCTTACTGGAAATATTTTAAAATAGTTGTTACTAAATGAATAAATAAAGTGTTGTAAAAATATATTTAAAATTATATTTAATTTATTTGTGACGTTTCAAAGGTATTGACTTAACTTTAGCCTGTTGGTCATAATAACAGTACATGCTGCATTCTATACACTGTAAAAAAAAGTAATTAGTTACTTAAAGTGAGTAAACCAATTGCCTTAAAAGCAACAAGTTGACTTTACAAAAATAATGTAAGTAAAACCATTGTAACTTGGAACTGTTGAGCTGACTTAATTTTTATAATTATGCTTATTGTACTCACTTTTTAAAGTCAACAAATCCTTTTTTACAATGACAAACTATTTTAGCACATTATATATATATATATATATATATATATATATATATATAATGTGAATTGAAAAAAGTTATTAGTTTACTTTTATTTTTAAAAAGTGAATACAACTTAATTAATTAATAAAAATTAAGTCAACTTAACAGTTCCAAGTTACAATGGGTTTACTTACATTATTTTTGTAAAGTCAGCTTGTTTTTTAAGGCAATTTGTTTACTCACTTTAAGAAACTAATCATTTTTTACAGTGTATGTTATGTGCAAAAATATATATTTCTCAGTCTTTATTTTAAAAAGGCATCTATTTTACATCATTTTCAAGATTTAAGATAAGGCTTTTGTGTCTCCACAATGTGTTTGAAAAGATTCAGTTTAAAACAGCTATCAGAATATTCATTATACCCTTCAGAACATTGAAATTTAGCATCTATGGAACAGACGCTTTTATTCACTGTCCAGTAGATGGAGCTACATATTTAGGTATTTGCTGAAGATCTGTATAATTTATTCATTACACTGTAAAATTGCACGCCATGGATTTGTGTTGATACAACATAAATAAATTAAGTTAACTTATTAGTTTTTACAAATTTAAGTGGACTGAGCATAAAACAAGTATGAAAGCCCCAAAACCTTGAGACTTGTGTTGTTTCAGCTCATTTGAAATACATAGTCTGAACAAGCAGCAAACATCATTTTTATGAGTGTAGTTTTCTATTGGAATCTGCTTCAGTTTCTCATATACTTTGGAGTCTATGCAAAAATGTATAGGTCTGATAATATGCCTTATTATCGTTTATAATATAATATTACTAATGAAATATTTTTATGTCTGATAACTGCCTTTCTGAGATCTTTACTATTACAACTAACAAGAAACCACAGATAAAAAAAATGATTATCATCTTTATTTAAGAAAAAAGGAATAAATGTACGCTTACACACTGCTTAATACACAAAAGAGAGCAATAGGCAAATATCTTTACATATGAAAAAATGTAAATATTAAGGATATATAAGATATCATAAGAATAGATATAGGATATAAATATAAAGGATTAAAATATTACAAAACATTATTTTCTAGCCTGCATAAATATGAAAAACCACTGCTTTTATGTCTTCTTCATCTCGGGAGGCTTTTTCAGTTCATTCATTCAACAATTTGCTTTTGTATAATGTTATTATTATTAGCAGTATTATTTATTATATCCATATGTATATCTGTTTTATTAAAAACAAGCTTAGATTTGCCCACCTGTCAGGTTTTAGACCATATGGGGCACAGCATGTGTTTTAGGATATAACTCAGGTTTTTGATCACACTTCGTTATTATTGTTCATTTATTCGTTTGCTGGAAATTAGAACTGAATTTAGAAATAGTTTTGAAACAAATATTTGCGCTTAACAAACGCAATTAATTTTTTATAGACTAATTGATGTCTATGCGTAAAGGTTTCCCTATCCAAAGCGAAAGTGAAAGTAGATCTTTCATTCTCACGCAGTAGATGCTCTGTTTAACAGTTTTCTGTAAAATAAAACTGTTAACTGTTTGCTAGTGAAATGCTCATTTTTTTCCACTTAGACTTACTTTGCGTCCTATAAATAGCGAATGCGCTTATGGCGTGACGCAGCTGGCTCTTAAAGGGAATGGGAGATGATACTCTAATTGGTTTATTCTCAAAACACACCTATAACTCATTAAGAAAATAAACTCAACCCTTTTAGACCATGCTCCACAGCGCAAAGCGGATTTTCCTGTCCTTAAATTAGCAAAAATGGGTTTTGACATGCCCTGAAAGCATTTTTTTGTGCATGGACCTTCAAAATAGAGCCCAGTCAGTAAGGCATCTAAACAGTCAGATTCTTTTATCCAATACTCTTAGAAATTAAGGTACGTAAGCTGTCACTGGGGTAGTACCCAGGCACGTGCACACATAGGGCTCAACCTGTGCAGTGCACATGCCCTTTTTAGTCTTGGATAGAAAGTGCCCTTCCAAAATGATCAAAAGTGCCCCCGCGACGCGGCACACCTTAGGTCCCGCTCTTCAGTAGGCGAGCGACTACACCGGTCATGAGTACGCGCGCGACAACACCGCTCTTCAGTATGCGCGCAACACCATTCAACCCCCCCCCCTCCCCCTCTAAAAATTTATCCTGCACATGCCCTTCGGACGGTCTCTGCACGGGCCTGGTAGTACCCCTTCAAAAGGAACACATTTGTACTTAAAGGGTCCATATTGGTACCTCAAAAGTATATATTAGTACCTACACATTTTAAGAGAAACATTTTAGTACTTTTTACATACTACCTTTGAGGTATTAATTTGGACCTTTTAAGTGTTTGTTCTGAGTTATTTCAAATCACTTTACAGCCTGCAAGACTTTTAAATCAAATCAAAACAAA